AGGCTTGCTTCCCTCTTCCAGGTGCAGGGCTAGGGCAGCTGATGGGAGAAGTGTAGTGAAGGGGGCACGGGGCCCAATCTCAACAAGCCAAACCAGACCGCCTGTAGGAACACCCAAGCGCGCTATGGCATGCTTGGCCCTGCCCTGCAAAACCTCAATACAAAGCGCGGTTATAAACTCTCGGGGCGTTCTTGGATTGGCTCGGGACTTGCAAGGCTTGTGCTCTCTCTTGCTGATGGGACCGGCCAAGTTTGCGCAGATTGCTCTCCATTTGAAGGTTGTGTTAATCCCATCGTCGCTGTCAGGCTTAACTAAGAGAAATCCTTGCGGCGCTTCATTGTTGCAGTGCAGGTCGGCGGCATCGTACGAGGCAGAGCCACGGGAGAGGTTGCACAAGAGTCCCGCGCATCGGCGCGTTTGAGGTTTCTACAGTTTGGGCATGTGCGCGGCCCTACGTAACTGTAATGTAGCTCTGTAAGCCCTAAACCCGGAAGTTTAATTCAAGCCCCAATATAAGGACCCTAGCATACCTTTCAGAAGCCCCTGGGGCAAGGAGGCCGCTTCCTTCTCCAGCGGCCGAACGGCGCCGTGCCGGCCGCAAGCTCGGATTTCCAGGGGCCCGTCGAGACCTGTGCGGGGTTTCTCTATTGTTTGCGTAAGAACCTTCCCTTAATGATGAAGCATGCAACATGGGGATTATCTTTCTTTTCGGGGGGGGGGAGGAGGTTCTTCAGCGAATCGCAGTTCTGAGGGTTTCAGGGTTCGGATGGGTGAGGCGTTAGAGGGTTAAGGCGGCCTGGGCTTTGCTTTCGCAAGGCTCGGGAGTGGTGTCGCATCGCGGCACAAAGGAGCAGGCCCTTTTTCTTCCCTTGTTTTGGGCTTTCGGCTCCCATATAAGCCCTTTAGTACCCTTCTTTTTTCCTATAGGTTCCCCTTAGGTCTAGAGAATGGCTTAGCTTTGGCCTGGGCCCTCAGCTCAGGCCTCAGCTCCCCGAACACAACAATCCGAAGCTGAAGACGAAAGCAGTTGGCCCATGACCGAGGAACGCCTTGCATTGGAGGCAAAGATGCTTCAGACCTCCAAGGCCTGAGGGTTTGAGGGTGCCGGCGTGGGCTTTGTTGATCATTGCCTGTGAGCGACACCCGTTTTCGCAGCCTTTTCAGATTTGGTTGATTCTGAGCCATCCCACTCCCTGATCACCTAAACACCCAAACTGCTCTCAACGAAAACCAGCAAAAACCATGTGGTTGGCCTAAACCATCCTAAACCCTAATCTTTGCACTGCACAAGCCAGGACCAGCGGCGGTCCACAGCCCTGGCTGCCGCTCTCGGTCCGGGCCCGAAAGAGCAAGAAGCAGCAAGGATGATTTTGTGCTCCCTAAAGCTCAACTCCCTAATTACTCCTAAATCCCAAAACCCCCAACCCCATGTGAACTCCAGCTGTGGCTGGAGTCGGGGTCAGTGAAACCACCACAAAGGCAAAAAAGCAGAGAACGGCCTTGCGCCACATCCGGAGCACAGGTGATTTCCCCGCTTCACACATGCAGACAACACTGTAGGGGGTTTTGGAGGAGGGACGACTGGAGGGGCTTGCAGGATGCAAGAGCGCACGCAGATGATCGTCGTCATCATCATCATCATCACCATCACCATCATCACCATCATCATCATCATCATCATCATCATCATCATCATCAGGCCGCAAGATGCACTCAGCTTCGGGGGTTTGAGGAGCGACGATGCCACAAGGGGCACAGCATCCGCCGGCCGAGGAAGACGTGCAGGGGGGCGGCACGCCCGTGGCAGTCAGGACAACCCACCACGCAAACCTAGCAGAAGGTCAAAATTCCTTAAGGTCAGGGACGACCTCGCGCATGGAGAATCCTGTGGCAAGTGTCCAGCTGCATCAAGCCCAATAACTTGGGCCTGCGGAACAAAGAAGTAACAATGCAGGTCGGAAGCAATTCATCTAGACCTTTTGGAGTCCATGTGCAGCTGAAAAGCTGGCATGGGAACCCAGCGCAATGCATGGGTTGGGACTTGCCGCCCCACAATCCTGCGGTGGAAGGAGCAGAGGTGGAACCTGGAATCTGTGCAGCGGCCGTCCAGGCAGCGACCCGAAGAGGAAGTTCCTGCCGATTTCACAAACACCATATCCGGCACTCCGAATCAGAAGCCAAACATGGCTCTTCCTCAAAGCCGCCACATGCACTCCTTCCCACCTCACACATTCCCTGCTCCCACCCAAGAGCAAGAGCTATCTTTTTCGTGTCTGATTCCGAGGCACGCAGTTTCTCACCTGCGGCGCATGGTCAAAGCACACGATGCTTAGTATTCTGACGAGACCCATATCTGCCCATTCAGTATTTTTGGTATGGCCTTGATCCCAGCACTGCATTTTTGACTGTTGGCCGTGAGTTATCCACCAATCATGTTGGCCAGTCAAGGACTTGGCTTTGCCATGACCACTGGCGTGGCCATACACGCGCGAGAGGCACTGGTGTACAGGGTCACCTGATATGGTCATTAAAAAACTTGGGATCGAGTCTCTGCGCTCAGCCTGCCATGAATTTTTGAGCACGTTCTTCAGGCATCACTGAACCTGGAAACTGCTCATGACAACACCTTATTTACGCTGTGTCATGTCCTCTAGTAGCTTTTCTTGGCAAGACCGGCTCTCTACAGCACATGCACTACGACTCGAGCAGTTCTCCATACCAAGCAAGGAAGGAACCTGCTTTGTGTTCACTGCGCTGGTTCCCTTGTGGTCTAGGTCGTGATTTTTCTGAAGGTCCATGGAGAGCCCCTCACATATCATTGTACCAGAAGCTAAAGCAACTTTTCGTGGGGGGGAGGAAGTTCACGGGGTCAGAATGGCATTTCATAGCCTCACATGATGTAAAAGAGGATCCAAACACCCACGTGGGTTCACCAATCAGGCATAATTAACAGCCATGATCAGCCTCCAACTCTTTTTGCCTTTCGCCCTAAACCCTAAACCCTAAACTCTAAACCTTGCGCAGTGGCTGCGTGGGAAGACCGAGATGGGCAAGAAGACGTGGTCCGGGGCCGCAGCTTCTGAGCAGCGCTAGCAGTTTAGATTTTGGATGCACTAGCATCTGCCGGAGTCCTCATTTGCAAGTTTGGCAACTGCATCAGCATCTTATACAGGGCACCATGAACAGCCCAGCTTTTCAAAGTTCAGGGACAGGGTGAAGTCGCAAGAGCCTGTTCTGGGTTTCCATAGGCACCCCACTAGGATGTCGGATAGGCATTGGCAGATCTGCTGTGTTTCTAGGCAGTGGGACGATTGGGCCCGAAGCAGTCTTCAAGCGAGTCTCTGCACCCCTCCGGTCATCCTCGCGGCCCTGGACTGGTTCCCTTTGCTTCTTTCCTCGACTTGAGCGTAGTTGTGTACACGTTTGCAAGCACACTTGACACAGAACCGGAAAAGCCGGGTCTTGACAGAGCATTTCCTGGACTTTCTTTGCAGGTTCCCAAAAACGGCTTGCAGCCAGGGGTGCGAAGTGTGCAGGCGAAACTTCTTTTGTGCACACATATCTGATCTAAGATATGTATACATATATATATATATATGTGTATATGGATTCGAAAACCTGCTTTCCTGATTGCTGTAACTTAGCGCAGGCTCCTCGACAAATTCGCAGCCTCTCAAGGGATGAAGACTCGCACCCCTATTGTACCCCTAAAAGTTCCCGTTAAAATGCCCCGAATATGGCCCTTACATTCCCGTAAGGATCCCGAAATCGGGACCCCAAAACCCAAGGTCCAAGGTAGAGCCTCTCAGGCCACAGCTCGGCGTCTGGCTCCTCTATGTACCCGCCTGCAGCTCGGTGTGGTCGCTGATAATGGCGCCTCTAAAAGGATAGGGTTTAGGGTCTGGGGTTTAGGGTTCAGGGTTCAGGGCTTAGGGTTTAGGGGCCAGCTGTTCGAGCTCGGGCCTTCGGTGGTATGCACATGTCGGCACTCAAGGAATGCAAAAAGCAGCTCCAAAGGACGGCTCTGAAACATCCTGGCGGCTGAGGGATGTTCACTGAATCTCAAGAGCCATGGCGCAGCATCACTGGAAAGCCCTGAATCCAAGAAATTGCCCCACGCGCAACATACTTTGAGGAGCCTCCTGCCTCTTTAAGGCACCGGGCAATCCTTGGTCCTGAGCCCTGAACCCGAAACTCTGAACCCTAAACCCTGGACCCTAAACCCTAAACGCTGAACCCTCAAACCCTTCTAAGTCGAATTGGAGCCGACTGTAAGGTGCTGGTAACACCAGCTCGGACCTTGGGTGGGAATTTTGGGGGGTTTAAGGAGTTTAGGGTTTAAAAGAATTGGAAGGTGTAGGGTTTGTGAGGTTTAGGGTTTAGGGTTTAGAGGTTTAGGGTGTATGAGGTTTAGGGTTTAGGAGTTTAGAATTTGGGCCTTGGAGTTTAAGGGTTTGAGGTTTCGGGGTTTAAGGGTGCTTTGGGAGTTGGCGCGTGCACAGGGCAGAATGGTCATCGGTTTTGGGCGCGAGTTCTGGCTCCTGCAAAGCTCTGAATCCCCACGCCTTTTGGACTCTCAAGCCTTTCTCAGCACTTGGCATATACCGAGCCTTCTAGAAGGATTTAGGGGTTTGAAGGGGCTGAGAACGTAGGATGCGTTCTAGAGGGGTCTCTGGGATTCTTCCACTGTAGATGCTCCAGTTTTTGTGGGCCTTGAGGGAGATCATTCGATGGGAAAGCGGAGGTTTCAGGCTTCTCAATTCTAATTTCTGGGGGGCTTGGATGGATTCGTGGTCAGATGTCAGATTGTGCTGCCCGCACTTGCGGTAGAGGTTTAGGTTTGCATCCGACTTCCTTTTTGGGGTGCAATTGCCGGGTACAATGCCACTGGGGAGGGGGGGGGGGCTCTGCCTTTGCATGGTTCCTGCGATCCCGCTCGTCTCAGCACGGTGTACATAGGCTAGGGAGGAGAAGCCCTGGCGCGGGAGTTGCCGGGTCCCATGAATGCAAGCCTGAACTGGAAGCTCTTCATCGCCTCAGTGCTTGGCCTCTCCATCTTGGGCCTATGGCTCTTCTTTGCGCTGCCCCCAACAGACGAGGAGACGAAGATGACGGTCAAAGGGAACTGCACAGCCATGAGTCTTGGAAAAACTTCTGCAAATTTTTAAACTACCAGAAGTCCAATTTTCAAGGCAGATGTGGGCCATGTTCAGGCTGCTTGGTGTTTTAACGTCTTGCGGAACACCAAGGACTGGAAAGGACAGAAAAGAAGAGGCCTCCTGCAAAAACTTTGGCGGATGTCATGGCTACTGCCCTGACAGCGAGTGTCAATGCACGTCCCAGTGCATCAATGTGGGCAATTGTTGTGAGGATTTTTCGGAGGAGTGCATGACTGAAGGCAATGCACACACGGAGCTAATAAAGCTGGAGGAGCAGATCCGACACATGGAGCATGGGGAGGGCATCGTTGGATCTGAGTTTATTCTGGGCCTCGTGATGGTCTTCTTCATCGTGTCAGTGATGGGGCTTGTTTACATTTCACACAATCCCAAACTCCAAGGGCTGCGCAAAATGGCCGACGAGATGAGTTGCAAAACTACCTCGATCTTCGCGGCAAACACCTTCAGTGTTGCGCTCCACGGCGTGCTTATTGAGCAGTCCCTTGGTCAGGAGAGGCTTTTTGGCCGTTGCATGGCTTTGCTTTTTTCTGTTTGAAACCTTAAGAGTGCTCTCAGCAAGGATATGGATGGGAAAGCACCCGGGATTAAATCTTCCGGCAGGGCCTCTCCGACTTTGCCAGATTTATGGCGTCGTGGCCTGCCTGTTCTTCGTGGCCTCCAATGTGCTCATGTACCTGTCCCTTGGCTTTCAGCCCCGATCTCTTACTTCCTAAAACCGGGTTTGAGAAAAACTGAATGGCTGTATGGGTTTCAGAAGCCCTACATCTTAATCCCTATAAACCCTATAAACCCCAAACCCTGAACCGGTCTCCTTGGTCTGCCCATGTCTTCCCCATATGTTTCCCCAAATGAGGTTTCGGGGCGATCCACAGCTGTTCTTTGCCATCGGCCAGCTGTCGAGCCACATGACTGCCTTCACCCTGGTGCGGGCGCTCGGCTCCTTGCAGTGGAGTGCGCCGAGGCGAAAATACTATAAACCCCTATATAGACCCTCAACCCTAACCCTAAACCTTAATCCCCAACCCCAAAGCCAACTCTATGACCCTCTCCTCTTACGGCTGAGCCCCGAGTTGTGGGAAAATGGAGCTGAACGCGTGTCTTCCATTGTAGAAAGAAAAACCCTTCTCTCACACAGAGAAGGTCAGAGACAGCACGTTGGAGTGCTGTATGGCTGCTCGGCAGCAGGCATCATGTTTACGATTTTGTTGTTTAGGCTTTATAGGGTTTAGGTGTGGAGTTTTTTGATACACAAAAAACTCTACTGCTGGGGTTGACTTGGTCAATGGGCCAATCCCCTCCATACCCCATAATAACCTATCAACAACATTCAACAACTGAATTTTGACAGGGCCTCATATCTGATCATTATCTTAACGACAATGGGGAGCGGCATTCTACTCAATATTCAGAAGCTCCCAGATGTGGGAGAATGGGCAAACATCAACAAAACATGCAGGTGCTGGCTTGGGCAGCAGTCTTTCTGCGAGGTTCCATTTTCGTGGGCGAGCGGGTGCGCTCTCAGTTCATCAAAAGTGACATGGTGCAGTGGGAGTACCGCGAGCCTGGCAAAAGATGGCAACCCTTTCCAAGCGACATCAGCAACTAGGACCCAGAGTAGGCCCTCACTTTCTTTTGTTGAAGGTTGGGGGTTCCCTTAAAATCCCTGTAAAACCCAAAAGAGTACCTCTTTTTTTTCAGGTTACTCCTGGGTCTAGGCAAAAAGATCGAATCTGACTGGGGCCACCGTGCAGCTGATACCGACTCTGACAGCGACCCCAGTGTGGTTTTCTCGACGTCCGACGCAAATGGACGAGAGGAACGCGAGAGTTTTTCTGTCTTGAAGACCGACCTGACCATTACTTTCAACCCGGATGAGCCAAGCGACAAGAGTCCAGGTTCCTGCTTGGTAGACTTTTTATTTTTTGACTGTGAAATCCAAAAAGTATCCAAAAAGCCTCATTGGACACACTAAGCGAAGGTTTGTGAGTTGCGTAAGTATAGAATGAAACGTGACCCAGGAGCACATCCTCTGTGTTGCATCTTCCAGATCGAGGTACATTCTTCGTGGACCCCTGTGGGCGGATGGTGCGGGAGGGCGGTGAAGAGTGGAAAGTGAGGCTGCGGGAGCTGCCAGTGAGTGTTCACCAGCAGTGCTATTCAGCATCAAACTGGCATGCGGAGGTTTGTGAGCCAGAGCTTTGAATAAGGATCCCTTCAGTCTGACAATCTTGCAGGGGCTTCTTCAAGCAATCATGGCTTCCTTTTCGTTCGGGCACCCGTATATGATACCCCGCTCCCAAAGAAAACAGAGACCGAAATATATGGGGATCCTACACTGCACACCCGAAGTTGCCAACGTACTCGTATGCCAATGTCCACCCTAAACCCTAAACCCTAAGCCCTCGAAACCCTCCACATCACAACAGTAGCCGAGTCAGCCCTGCAGGTGGCAGTGCAATTGGCATCACTTCGCCGAAGAGTGCTTCTTGGACGGCGCCGGCCTCGTCTCCTGGCATGGTAGAGGGCACTTCTTAACCCTAAACCCCTAAACCCCTTTGTTCGAAAGAAGAGCTGTGTTTGGCAAAAACTCGACTTCCCGAAGCCCTATAATTTAGAAGGGTGGTATAAGGGTTGCGCAGCAGCAGTCTGCAGGAAGTTTTTGGAGTTGTCTTTTTGGCATGTGGCTAAATATGCCAGGAAAAAAAGAAACTGCGCCTATACATCGGGGTACTCACCCCCGCCCCCCCCCACGCGTTTCATCTTGCTCAAACGCCATTGGGGGGGGGGGGGGGGGGGTGGGACTCCCGGACCAAGGTCATGGGTTTCCTGATGATGCAGGCGGGGGGTGAAGGTTTAGGGGGTTAGGGCTTAGAGCCTTGGCATCCTGGCGGACTGGCAGAGGATGTCCGTGTAGTTTCAGTCTCTTGTCAGTTTGGTGTTATCTTGTGACCTTGAGTTTGGGCATTCTAGAGGGGCAATTATGCGACACCAAGTGACACCAAGCCCGGCAGCAAGACCAGAGCTGCGCAAAAGGTCCGATTCGTGGCTCTCAACCTCCCTCCCCTACCTAGGGTTCATAGGGTTGATAGGGTTTAGGGTTTAGGGTTTAGGGGTTAGTAACGGTTAGTAATTTAGGGTTCAGGGCCCGCAAACGCCCTAAAAAAGCAGCCGAATCTTGTTTCCCCACAGAGCACACCCCCGGCCCCAAAGTCCCCATCGACTCTGCCAGCTTGTTCTCCTCCTGCACACTGGCTACCTGCACTCCACGGAGGCAGGTGTTGGGTTTGAAAGGAGGAACCATTTAGGGGGTATTCAGGGGCGGCTTAGGTGTAGAGGGACTATAGGGAATAAGATTAAGGGTCCCTTCTAGAGGTAGGAGGGATACCCCTCAAACTTTGGATGCTTTCGAAAAAAAAGCCTTCAAGTGGGAATTGGGGGAAGGGCTTACAATGGGCTTAGAAGGTTCCGGGGAGTTTAAGCAGAAACCCCGCCAGACAGAAGCATATCCCCAATTCCGACACGCACACACGCACACACACACCCCCCTCCCCAACCCACCTCCCCCCCTGTGAGTGGAGGGACTTCTGGTGCAGCCGGATGACTGGGATTGGATGCTCACCTTCGCAGTGCTGGGCTGGAGCTTCGGCTACCGGGATTGACATTAACCCCTTTGCCAGAAGGATTTTCTACTTCTGAGCTGCAAAAGAGAACCTCTACACAGATCACAGTCTCGAGTCATAGCCCCTTCAGTCTCGAGAGTCGCTTTCAACCCCGTGTGGCCTGAAACGCACGTGGCGCCACCCAGGCTTCTCAGTGCTGGTGGTCGTCGTGGAGGCTGTCACGGACCACTTGCCGCCCTTCTTGGCTCCAGATTTGGAGATGTTGGCAGGCCCAGCCTTCGCTGAATCGTCCCAAGTTCTGAAAGAAGACGCCCCAAAGTACCACCAGAGCCGACCCTCAACCCTCAGCCCTTTTGGCCCTTTGAACCCCACAAGTTCCCAAAAGTAGATATCGATTCGGAACCCTAAACCCTAAACCCTGAGCCCTAAACCCAAAACGTCACTTGGCAGTTTCCTGAGGAAACGCTTTGACCCACATGTAACGCCTGCCCCGCGTGCCATGCAGCAGGCACCGCTCCAGGCAATTTGGAATGCTTATTACAGGAAAGGCAGGCACTGACACCTGCGCTGGATATCTCATTAATTCAATTCCCTATTTTCTTCGTCCGAATCCTTCGTCCGAAGTGTCCGCAGACTGCTTGCCCAAACCCTAAAAGCCCTAAAAGCCCTAAAAACCATTTAAAAAAAACTTAAACACCCTATGTGGGAGGCTCCTTCTCGGCCGCATTCGGCTGGTGCCTCCTCCGAGGTGCCGCCCTGACAGTGCGGCCGCATTGCACTTTGGGCATCGCTCTAACATTGACTAGGGTTCCGGGTTTAGGGTTTGGGGTTTAGGGCTACTAGGACCAGAGCAGGCCCGGGTTTCGGTTCCCTGATAAGCCCATTTACACCAAAAAAGGCACCCCTTTTTTTGACGTGCATGTTTTAGGACTTTTGAACGTTTAAGGTTCTTAGGGTGTCTTGGGGTTTTGACTCGAGCTGTTCGACGCTTAGGAGTTTAGTGAGGTTTAGACACTTGTTAGGGCTTCATTGAGCCCACAGTTGTGCTAAGGACATCCAATCTAAGCACTTCAAGCCATCAAAAACACAGGCCAACTCTTCTCTGTATATGCAGTCTCAAGAACGCCAGCCCACCAAGGCACTCTGATGGACACCTATGTCGTGGTGGCCTTTCCCCTTACTTGGCTGGCCTTGCTAGCAACAGCCTTCTGGGCTCTTCCTTCAGCAGTTTGGGCGTTTATTTGTGGCTTTGTTCTTCAAATGAGATTTTTTTAGGCAGAGCCCTGAGTGCTCTGAATTCCTCCCGCCAGGTCTTCGCGCACACGCACCTTCCGAATATCCTCACCGACCATGGAAGGGAGGATGTGCAGCACACCATCGCCAGTGCTGCCGCCATCGTCACGGGCCTCGTGTGGGACAAAGCCTTCGAATCACTCACGGCGACTCCGAAGTCCGTTTTAGGGTCATATTGGGTTCATGGCTGGGGTCATATTCGGGTCATTAGGGCATTTTAGGGTTTCGGGTTTAGGGATACTAAGGTCATTAGGGCAAATTGGATGTCGAGTTTCAGGGGCTCCCTCTTCCAAAAGCTAGGCTCGGGATTAACTCCCCAAAACAGCCCTGAACTAAGTAAATGTGGATGACCCAGGTACATATGACGTCAGGATGGTATGGGCACTACGTGATCGCGAAGGTCTGCCTGTGCAATTCCAACTCCATGATAAGATTTCAGTTCAGGGCTTAGGGATGTTTAGGGTTGAGGGGCCATGTCACGACTCGTTTGGGGACATAGCTACATGAGAGAATCATCATTCTGCCTTGCTCTTCCTCTTGCAGAGGGTCAAACCGTTGTCCGTTGTTTTTGGCACCGACAAGCGGGAAGGAAGCAAGGTCTCTATACGCGGACTCTTGCAGTGATTGTGGTCCCTAAGAGGTGTTTGTAGAATTCTTTCCTATCAGGAGTTGGGGGTAGTGGTAGCTGGGACGGCTGCGTCTGCCACTTCTGTTGCCGCTCAACAACCATGTCTCATTCAGATAAACTGAAGTTCTATTTCTTCTTCCAAGGTCGTATTCAAAAGAAGAGACTTTCCATGTTGCATATATATATATATATACACATATAAAGTATATAATTTGTATATATGTATGTGCAATGCATATATGGATGGTATTGATGTGGATATACTATGTATACATACATTGCAGGTGCCATATGATACGATATGTGGTACTTGTGGTGTAGCTTTATTTCGCATGATATCATATGTTACTGTGGTTCAAGGAGTCCGCCCTCTGCCCTTGCTCAAAAGCATATTGTTTAGGGTTGAGGGTTTAGGGTTTAGGGTTGTATCATCTGAACGGAAATCTGCGCACACTAACGTCTAAAGAACCCGTCCCAAGCTTCCAAATTTCCACGTTGTCGCCCGGTGCCTTTGCGCTTGCACCCTTTAAAATAACGCGCAGCGGCCAACTGTGACGTTCGTTCCACACCGTGCGCAGAAATGCCCTCAGACCCCCCTTCAAGCCGCGGCCCCTCAAATCCCAAACGCCCTAAGCCAGAAGCCCGAAAGGTCATCTTGGCCGCCGTTGTGGCCATCATCGTCCTTCCAGGATGGTATATGTACCTGGTGCCCAAGGCGAGTCAGAGTCTCACGTGGCTTCAGTACGATTCCCAGAACCGAATGTGGGGTATATGGGCAGATACTTTATGGCAAGGGAAGTGTGGGGGGGGAGGGGAGGAGGTGGGCAAGGACCCAGGTGTGTTTCAGCACATGTTCGATATATATATATATATATATAAATATGTATATATATATATATATGCTGGATGTGTGCTGCAACGTCATGCTATAGCAGTCTTGCTGAAATGTCGCTTTGATGTTCAACTTCTCCGGATTCGATCAGCCCCGCACCGCATCCCCTGCCGTGAGAGGCAGTTGCTTGCTGTCATCTCGACAGCAATCCAGATCCGGAAGAAGCAGAACCCCTCAAGTGACATGCGCTCTGCAAGGGAATTCGGGAAGGTCGCAGGCATCCTCCTCGACCTGGAAACCCGTGGCCCGAAGGCCATTACGCCCAAGCCCAAATCCAAAAAACCTGGGAGTCCTGAGCTGCGCTGCACCCTGCCCCCTAACCCGGAGCCTTTCTCTGCAAGCCGCCAAAGATGCGGCTGATCCATGGCTTGATCACTGGGTCAAAACAGGAGCCCCACTTCAGTTGCTGCTTCATTTGGATTTGGGCAGTGGCTCTCAGCTAGGCCGAAGAGATGAGAGCGATGATTTTCAGGGCTTGAGACTCGAGACACTCCAAATGCTAGCCGTTCAGGCCTCTGTGCCAATTCGGTTCGTGGTGGTGGTTGTTGAGTTTGTCACGACCTTTGTCAGAGAGCAGGAGGGCCTGGTTCCTGACCTAAACAGGGGCTGGAGTTCGCAGGCTTGAAGGCTTTTTCGAGAGTGCATGAGGCAGGATCCGGCCCTCTGCTTAGGCTGCGGCGCTGCCGTGCTACGGCCTGGCAAACTCACCGGGGAGCACTTTCTGCCAGAGGCTTAGTCTTCGGGGGCGATATGATACATTCAAGTACAAGAGTCGAGCCCCAACACTGAATGGTGGCAAGGATGTGGGGTTTGAGCACGTGCATTAGTAAGGGCGGTTCAAAGCAGTCGAGTGCACTGCCCACGGCTTCTCAAAAGTAGTGTCAAAAAAGGTTCTTTCCATTTTGTCTGGATGCCAGTACAATTGTGTCAACCTTGTGGGGTACTGTAGGCCACAGATTCTGCGAGGGCAAGACCCCCAGCATTCAGATTCACTCAAGGCGTGGTCACGTCGATCAATTTGCTCTTCTACGCCGACCTCTTCAGCGAGTAGCAGCAAAAAAGCTCGGAAACCGCGGTGTGGGCTCATCGCACCACACCCTCCTCTTCCCTGAAGGCAGAGGTCTGAAAGCACCATCTGCAAAAACGGTACTATAGCGGTCGGGATAATTACTAGTAGAATTTCCTTACGGTCCCTATATAATTCTAACATAAGAACCCCCAAAACCATATTCGAATTATTCAGGCTCCTAAACTACGGATTTGTACTTAAGCCTGCCAGGAGCTGGTCCCACACTGGTTCCTGAAGGGCGTCTTGTTCATTGTTGCTTCTCTTCGGATTCGGAGGAACCCAAAGTTGTTATGGTTCCAGAAGGGGCATGTAGATGGAGCCTTTGCTAGGGCTCACGACCACTCCAGGAAAGGAGTGTACCCATTCGGTTCAAGCCTGCGAGCTCCCCTTGAATCGGCAGAACTCGCGTCACGTCTGAGTTTCGTGCTCAAGAAGTAGTCTGCTTAGCATGGGAGCACGTCTTGCAACATCAATCAAAGAAGCCGTGCTAGTAGCAATCATGCTCACCACCACCCACCCACCACCACCACCATCATCATCATCACCACCATCATCATCATCATCATTGCAACATCATCATTATCCTCCAAGGTTTTACGGTTTAGGGGTTAGGGTCTTAGAGGAAACGAAGGGTCAAATCGAGCGTTTCCCCAAAGAAGGCTCCACTCTAACCCCCCAAAGAAAGACACGAGGATTTGGTTTTTTTCTAACCAAGGCGTGTGCAAAACCAACAAAGCCAGAGGAAAGCGGACCGCTCGGAACAACTGACAAAAGGCCCTGCTCTTGCAGAACAGTTACAGTAACTTATTGGGGCGCAGGTCTTTGACTAGCCAGCGGTTCTGCAGTCATTAGCCCTTGCACTGCCCCACTTCTGCGCTGCCATGGACAACCCTGCAGAGACGTCGGCCACTGTCAAGCGTACCCCTTGCTGAAGTTCCTGCCGCCAAAGAGGGTCCTAGTTTAGGTTGAGGGTCTAGGGTTTAGGGTTATAGGGCTGAGGGAGATTTCTGCCAGCTTCGGCCCCTTCTTTGCGGATCCCCCTTCTTTTTCGTCAGGGCTCAGGACTGTGGATTTTTGGGGGATGTTTAAGGGCCTCAGGAGTTGGCTTCAGTCCAAGAAGCCGAAACAAGATTTACCCGGACAAGTGCCCCAAACTTTGCAAACCCGTGGAGCTTCCGCTCAGAAGGTGCCCGAAGCCCCCCTCCATCCCTTAAGCCGACCATCCGACCTTTGAAGCTTCTGCTAAACGGCTCCCCCCTGAGCAAGGGTCCAATGCTCAAGAGGTCAAGTCTGGGTCGGAAGTTGCAAGTCGAGGGTTTAGAGTTTAGGGTTTGGGGTCGAGTTTCCGAAGGCTCAACCAACTGGGAGGTTTGTCTCCCTGCCCTGCCAGCCCTGCCAGGTTTCCACAGCCTCGGCTAAGCCGCCGGCAGGAGGAGCCTTTCGGATGTAGCAACAGCCCGGGATTTGGGGGTTTAGGAGAATAGGGGACCCCTAAATGGGGGGGGGTCTGTGGGGGGCTGGAGAATCTTGAACGGCGAATGCCAACTTTTGGAAATGTGGTGGGTGATGGTGGGTGGGGGGGCTTCCTGGCTTCCCCCCCCCCCCCCCCCCCCCCCCCCCCAAACCTGCAACCTCCAAAGCCAGCGACCTATGGCAGGAGCTTCAGCCGCCAGGTGTGTGCGGGAGGGGCCATGAGGCGAGTGATTCTACGTTGTGGAGCCGGTTTTGGTCTTTTTTTTGGGAAGCGTCAAGGTCCCTCAATATCAGAATCAGCACCTCAAAACTATACTTGACGTCCTAAACCCCAAGCCTTCCATCCTACGCCTAACCTTGACAAGTGTCTCGGAGGCTTGTACCGAACTTGCCTGCAATAGAGCTGAGCGGGGAAACCGGGTGAGTAGTGTCGGGCCGATTATATAATTACAGAGCAAGTGAACGCATGTTGGGATGGTGTTGGTGATTGGCCAGATTCAAAAAAGACGAGGAAATATTTACAAACAATGAACAATACACTAAATTAAGTATTTCTTCCCGGCAATCAACCATATAGAATGATAACTCATTTTCACTTGCATGCAGCCCGTCATTCAACCTGTCATTTCATAGCCATGTATAGCTCATATTGTCTTGTTTTTATTTGTTACGCTATCAAAAACTCAACATGTGAGAAAAAACAAATGGCTAGTATGACGGGCATTAGACGCATCGTCTAGGACAGTCATATTCAACTCATGCCGTGATACTTACAAATTACCATGCAACTCGCCACCTGTCAACCTGTCAGAGCATTTGCCTTCGAACAACAGGCTTGCCCTCCAGAGAGCGCGTCCTGACCCTGCCCAAAAATCCCAATCCCCAAGACTTCTACACAGAGTTGAAAAGTTCAAGACAAATATCCAAAGTTTCCCAGCGAAGTCTTGAGCCGCAAAATGCCCCAACAACCCAGCAACACACCCCAAAAACCTTCCAACGTTTTTTGGAAGTCTGAACATACCCATGCCCTGAAGCAACCCTAAACCCGAAACTTCCCGAACACCTGCACTCCTTTCTTTTTGACAGCCATGGCAGGGCTACCTGGGCGGGAGAGGCCGGCTCTTCGGTGTTTTAGGTGCAGGTTCAGGGTCAGGGCGCGGTTGCGAGGGTTGCCTTGAAGTTGCGTGGCCCCTAGCTACAGGGCTCGAGGGAAGGCCCCTTCGCTTTGGAGCCCTTAAGATGCCATGAACGCCGTCGAACCTGGGACCCCCGACGCCCGAATCCCGAAGACCCCAAAGTGGCGATTCAGCCTTTCAAGCCCCAACCCCTGAATCCCTCCAAGAAAAACATCCCGGACCCGCGAAAGCCTAAACTCTCAAAGCTCGGCTGCCAGCGCTGCAAGGAGCCTGCTGTCTTCCAGCGGCTCATCCAGCTGGAGGAGTCATGTTTTTTTGCTTGCAGGGCGCTGTACATGCAATCCCCAAAGGCGGCAGCTAAAGTCAAAAACGCACAGTAAGAAAACGAATGATTCATCGTGTGCGTGAGGCTAGTTCACTGATCTCCTTTAGATTGCGTAACTGAGAATTTTTAGAAGAGCCCCTTACAATGATCTTTGCGGGGCGCTTAAAAACCCTCACAAATGACACGAAATGAACGGCCCAAAACAGGGCTTTTGCATCTTTAGCAGATTCCCAAACGACTGTGTTAAATGCAAAGAGGTTCTTTGGCCCCAGGAAAGTTTTTCAAGGTGCCAAGAAGCAACAGTAATCGAGTTAATGGCGCCTTTTCTGTACGCTAGTTCACTTTGGTCATAAACTTTACATAAACGCTCCCCTTTTTGTTTTAGGACTTCTCCAGCAGTTACAGTAAGCTTGGAAACAGAATCGAGCCCCGAAAAAATGCGCTCATTAGTTCATTCTTTTTTACTCACCCATGTAGAAGTTTGCGGCTCAATATGACTTAAGGGGCCGCGCGAACTCCTGTAAGTCAATACCTAAAACTCATGCGCCCCGAAGGTCCTTAAATTGTTTAATTCAATTTAGTGGGAACAAGAGCACGGCGGCCCCCAACATAATATTGTGGGAGGTTATGCGGGCAATAATTCGATGACTTCGAGCGCCCGTCTTACATGCTGTACACAGAAGCCCTTGTAAGATTTCATGCGTTCCTCAGCAAAGTACGTGCTGTTGCGCACTTTGAAGGAATCATGTCGGCTTCTGGGGCGGTTTCGATCTCCAGCTCCGGTTAATGGTTGATCTGGGACTGAGTCTGAAACGGGTGTTTCCGAAATTAGGGGTACTCTATTGGGGTCCGTATGTTTAGGGAATCCTACTATTTGGGGGTCCAATTAGGGGTCCCTTATTTTCGTAAACCCCCCAATGACCCAAATGTCTTGAGTTTCTCACCGGCTTCACGACCTGTCCAACGGGCCCCAACGCCCGACGCCTCCCTCACCTAGCTCTTGTCAATGAGAACAAATACTCAATGGCAAGAAGTACGTATGTGTACGCACATGTAGAGGTATACATACATTCATCCACACATGCACTTGATTACGCAGCTGCAAGCGCAGCAGGAGGAGGTGGCGCATCTCCGTGCGGACAATGCTCGGTTGACCCAGGCTGTTTTTGGCGCTGAGGGTTTCAAAACTTCCCGTTGCAGTTGTCTTTAACAGCTGGTTGTTTTGGCTAGTCGCTTCGGGCATTAGCGGGCGGGATTTTGGGGCTTGCAGTGCTTAGGTGCGTACTGCGTTTGGGGGTTGCGGCTATTCGGATCTTTGGGTGTTGTGGCATGTGCGGAGTTAACTCAGCTACGGATTCCCCAGACACAGTGCTCGAGCTTTCATGGGATTCTACCGTTCTACCTTGGACCTCTCAAGGGTACAACCCTATAGGGTTGTACCCTTGGGTTTGGTGACCCTGTTTATTTAAAGATCCTCTAAGGGAATATAAGGGCCGTAGTAGGAGTCTGCATGTCTCGCATGACTACGGCTGGGTGTTGGAATTGCAGCTTGTTTGTTCAGCCTGAAGCGGTTGAAGATTGAAGGCCGAATCTCTCAAAGGAAGCCTTACTCAGGGAAACCTTCAGGGGTACAACCTTGGGGGGTGGCTTAATCCCTTGAAGCTTAGTGCCGAAGTGGCCGCCCTGGAGCTTGGCCCCGACAGCGTGGAGGTTTGGGTGTTCCGGGTGCTATGGGGTGGGCTGTGTGGGCTTGTGCGGCTTTTTGTTGGCTTCGGCCTGTCAGGAAAGCACATTCCTATGCCAACAGAGACCCCTCTGCTTTATCAAGAAATCCTAAACCTCGAGCGATCAGGCTGTGGAAGGGGTGCCAGCTCTGGGCGATGAATTTCTTGGTCCTGCGAAGACCGAGAGGAGTGATTGGGAAGTCTACTGAACTCCGCGTGGCGGGCATTGACTCCGAGACCTACGCACTCCTGTTCCCCTCCAAAGCCTCGACCTTTCTAGAGAATTAGAGTTTGAAGCCCCCACATCGGCGTTCTTCAATTGCGGCGTAGAGCTTTGTAGGTGTTTAGAGGGCTCAATGGGTCCAAGTCAAGGAGGTGCCGGGGGAAAGGAGTAGAAGAGTAGTTGCAGTCAGGAGCAGCACGCGGCAGAGTCCTGTGGGCTTGGTGCGGCAGTTTCGAGCGGCACGTTCGGGGCATTCTCCGAGGCCCACCGGGCGAAAAGCGATGCAAATTGCCCACACGAGAAGTTGGACTATGCTTTAAGCTGGAAGGAAGATGGTGGAGGGCAGAAGATTGATTAGGATTTTGGGATGTCTGGTTTCTGGTGTAGTGCTGGACCCCGTGAAGTAATCCTTCCAAAATGCGTAGCAGCTGCTGCTTTGCGATCTGTGTCGACCCAAACGAGGCAGCTCGACCTGTATATGCAGTCCCTACGCTCCCGGTCCGCGTCCCGGTCGCGATCTCCATCTCAACACCGGGGCAAGTCGCCGCGCGCTTCATCCCGGAGCCCCTGGCGGTCCCACTGGGGAACAGGACGTCTGGATGCCGAACGAACATGGCCCACCTATAACCTGGACTTCCGAGGGCAAGACAAACGACCTCAGCCAAGAGACCGCTCGCCGTCTTCGCCCTCCTCGCCCTCATCGCGCTTCACCTTCACAGGACCCCCGGGGGGTCGTCAGGTTTTGGGTTTGTTTTGCTGCGGTTCGGCGGGTCAAACTCTCAACAGCAAACCTCACCATCGCCTCTTTCAACCTGCAGGCTGACAAGCAGAACGGCCATTGTTTGATCCTATTTAGGGGGCTCCCATATAAATCCTCTTGCTAAGCCCTAAACCCTCTAGAACCTGACCGTTCCGAGACCCGGCAAAGTGGTGCTTAAGGACGGCCGTTGAGCCCATCCATGCACCGCTTCGGCAGCCGGGAGGTGGTCTCTGAAACAATACAAAGCTTCCCGAAGCCCGAAGCGCTAAACCTTTAACACCCTTCCAAACCCTATAAACTCTATAGACCCTATAAACCCTATAAACTGAATTGAAAATCCCCAACCACCCCCCCCCCCCCCCCAAGCCCTAGATTTTAGGAAGTTGTAGGGTCTTCAGGATATTGGATATGTGAAGCTCAGAGTGTCGGGTTGTCATGGTAAGACACTATTCCATGTCCCCGAGGATAAATCCCATCTCAGGTGGTCGCTATGCTCCGCAGAGCATTGCTGAACGCCGCGACACGAGGCTTCCTGGCTTCCTTTGGGGGGGGGGGGGGGGGCGATAAGATCATGCAGTTCAGGGTCGTAAGGCTCGAGGGGCACGTAGGGTTTGTAAGGATGTCGCTGTCAGGGCATCTCACTCTGGAACCCGAAACACTGAATCCCAAGCCCTGTTTCACTGCTTGCCTTTGATCTTATTGGAATCCCCAAAACGGCCTCTCAGAACTTCAAAGAGGGACTGCGAGGAGACGCTGCGGAAGTTCAGGGCATTCTTCGCAAGGCCTCCGAGGACCTGTGCCGGGAGTGAGGGCTTCTTTGTCTCAGGGATTCGTGAGCACTGGATCCTGCCACAGACCCAAACCCAGCTTAGGATTGATGAGGGCATCTGGGAGTTTTGTTCTTCTGTAGAAAGCTTCCAATTATTCGGGAAGGACGGATCCGAAACAACAAGGGGCGCGATCTGCTTCGAAGGATGGCCTCGTGGAGCTCTTGGACGCCAGGGACCAGTGCGGCCGTACACCCCTGCACTGCGCAGCGAGGCACGGGCACGCCCAGGCCCATCTGCCGTGTCAGGGTACACTTGAGTACATTGAGCACCTAAACCCTCAGCCCTCTTAAACGCAAAACCCTAAACCCTTTCGGAAGCTACAGAATGCTGCGTCTAGGGCTCCTGGGGGGGTTCGCGTGGAGCTTACGTGACGCGATGTCCCAAAAGCATCTCAAAGCGCAAGTGCACTGCAATTGCGAATTTGGGAGTTCCATACCTTGGGGACCAGATGAGGCTTACAATTGGGGTATATGACATGTTGTTTCAGGCCGAGCATGCAAGTCGCTGGGTGCCCGGAGGTCTGTCACATGCTCTTGAGGCTACGAGCAGACATCCACGCTGCGGAAGGCTCCCTTCACAAGCACGTTGCCACATACCCGAAAACCTAAACCCTACCTGGACTCCATTTACCTACAGTCTAGTAGTAACTAGGTAGCACCCATGAAACTGCAGGTAAACAGTGTCCCAGGTTCAACCTTAAACCCGAAACCGCAAAGCTTCCCTGGCCGGCTGTTCCTTGTCGGCCCTTTTGGATGTGCTCCGACCAGGTGCCGGCGGCACGGCCCTGACACTGGCTTGCCTGTACCTTGAGACTTGAGAGACCTAAAGAGTCTTTTGGGTTCGCACCCCATTGGGCCACAAGCTGTATGTGAGTGTATATATATATATATGCCTTATAAACGCTGAAACGACCCCAAAACCCCAAGCCCTCACGCACCCTTGTCTTCTTTGCATGACTGGCTTTTAACCAAGCCAAAACGGCTTTCATCATCCTAGGAAGGGATCTCCCGAAATGATGTCTCGTGCAGTCCTTCGTTGCATGACTACTTGGAGGTTCATGGTACTTAGTAACCCAATTAAAACTGCACGTATGGCCAAATTATAACCCCATTAGGGTGCTTAACGGGCTTATAAGTGGGTTATCACTACACTTATAATTGGGATACAAGTCCCCTGAACCTCCAAGTAAATTCTCGGTGGTGAGGTATGGCCAATTCGCCGCTGTGCGCTGCCTGCTTCAGCACGGCGCGCGGCCGGAGCAGGTGGACCAAGGGGGCCGGCCGCTCGGTGTTCAGTTCCTTCGCTTTTCTTTAAGGGTTTAGGGTTGAGGATTTAGGGACACGGGGGGGCTTAGGGCTTGCGGGGTTCATGGGGGGTGGGGGGGGCTCTCAAAGGGTTCAAACAATGTCGAACTTCCCAAGCCACCCTCCTGTTGCCCATCACAACTCCAAGGACTGCCTTCCACTGTGCACCTCGGACATTCGAGGATCCGCCCTCGCAAAGAATCCTTTTGTGGGCTTTCGTTTCAGGGTTTGCGCTGCGCTTAGTCTTTTTTTTGGCCGTCCTTCTTCCGTTCTTGCGGCACTTCCTCCCCCCCCTGCCCCTAAGTAGCTATCGCGGCTGATGAACATCGCACGTAAACCCATGCTGCAGTACTCAGCGAGAGAGCGAAGCTTCACTTTGAGCACACGGAAAGTAACAAGCTCAGGCATGCTGCGGCAGCCCAGAGGTCGTGTACGACTTGCTGCGCATCAGCCGGGGTTTCGCATTCCTGGAGGCTGGGCGACTGGGTGCTTGGGTTTCGGGATTTGGGATCTTGGCGTGAGCACAAGCTGCCTCACTCGCCAGGACGCCCGGGGTCGCAATCCCCTCTTCTACGCCATGGGCAACAACGACGAGGAAGCGAAGCTGGAGGTGGTCAAGTTGCTCTTGGAGGCGAAGTCCAGTGCCAGCCAGGCTGGAAAGCAACGAGTCAGTCTGTTTTGGGTGCCTTAAGAGCCGGCTCCTTGTGAGTGTGGGAATGAGTGATGCGACTTTCAGGCTGATGTTTTCGGTCGACCGGCGCTGTTCTATGCCACCCAAGCAGGCCAAGCTCATGCTGAGCACGAGATCCATCCCTTCTCCGGAACACTCCGCGAAGAAAAGGTTGATTGGAGATTGGGGAGGGGGTTCCGGCAAGAGGGGTACCCTGATTTGGTTCTTTTTAAGGGGGTGCTATTTCACAGGGCTTCCCCTGTTCTGGGAAATACCCACGGAGTGAATCGCCAGCTGTGCAACGGCTCGACCTGTCGAGGTGACGTCAAAGTGCTCGCTTTGCTGGTGCTGGCCGTCAACAACGATCCAGCATTTCACCTTCAGGCTTTTCAAACACTGAAGGCGCCCTCTGACTGTTCAAGCCCCGACTAATATGAATCCGAAGCACTCCCCACTATTGAATCGTGTAAGTCTCCCAGCCCGTCCTATTTTTAGCTACGTGGCTCACTCTACTTCGACTCAAGGTGCTGGGTGCCTCGGGGCCGACCGAGGACCCCCACAAGTCGGCTTGGTTTAGGGGTTTGGGGATTTAGGGTTTAGGGTTTCGGGTTTAGGGTTGGTTTACAAGTTAGAAGGGTTAAGGGTTTAGGTTTTGGTTTCAGGGGGCAGAGGTTCAGCTGAGCCTCTTTCCGGCTGTCGCAAGGTGCGTTGTGTGGAGATGTGGCGTGGGTTTGGTGGTTTGTGCCATAAGTGGGTTTGGACGCAAGCCGTGACCTCAATGTATGCAAAAGGCTCTCGGCATCCAGGTGTTGCATTTGTGGTTTCCGACTTGGGTCTGTGAGCTGTAGCGTAGTTGGCGAACAATGGCTGCGGCACAGCGACCTGAGATGAGCGAGACGATGCGTTACTAGGCGAAGCAATCTCAAGAAGCCCCAGACCTGAATGGAGTGTCTCGGTGACCAGAACATGAGTGGAGCGCTACGCGCATAACAGGACCCACGTGCAAGAGCGAAGCCTACGTCGCCAGCTCCGAAGGCTGGTTTGAGTGTTTTGCAAGCTTCCGATGAGTGCGTGCGGTTGCGATGGGTGGCATCGCAGTTCTACAAAACAGGCGGTAGGTTACGACACGCTTCCAGTAATCACAACTGTTCTGTGAAGCGATTGGAGCTGTGAATTTTCCAGGACCCATTCCCTTCGCTGCATTCCCCGAAGCTCTCGAACCCGAATGCCTTGACAAGCCCTGCAGCTGCTCGGCTTGCGGCCATCAGCTTCTGTTGAGGGGCACTGGGGATTTGACGGGAAATTCGTGTAGGTTTCGGATCGGTTTCGGATCACAGGGGGATACTCCTAGCAGCTCCTAGAACCGCAAAGTACCTGTTCCTGCAGAACTCCAGCCGAAAACTACTGAACATTTCTTTGGCAGCGCAGGATCCGAGCCAGCCTGGCCCGGAACCTTCTGCTGCTGGGATCAAGATGTCAGGAGTTTCAGGAGTTTCCTCTTTAAGTCTTGAAACGGGGTGGGACACCCCGGTTGTCTGCGTCCTCTCTCCATACCTGTGGCTCTTGCCCCATTGCATCTCTTGAGTCCCAGAATTGTTTTGAATCTTTTGCGCCAGGGGCCAAAAAGATTTGCCTCAAAAATGTCCCCAGCAGTTGGCATTCCCTATAAACCCTATAAACCCCATAAACACTATAAACCCTATCAACCCTACAAACCCTACCAACCCGATGAACCCTAAAAACCCCCGGCAGCACTGAGGAGGCGAGCTGCTCGAGCTCCATCCCGCAGCTGCTCGCAGGGCTGCTGGCTGGGACAGACCAGGATCGGGAGACGGCTGCGGCGGCTTTGGAGCAGAAGTCCGCCGACCACGACAGCCAGGTCGCCATTGTCCAGAAAGGTGGCATCCAACCCCTCATTGAGCTGCTGGCTGGAAGTGTCAAGGCCCGCGAGAGTGCCGTGCAAGCTCTTCGGAACTTATCCAGCAATGAGGAGAACCAGGAGCCAATGGCAAGGGAAGGTGCCGTCCCTCCTCTCGTGGAGATGCTGAAGTCCGGCATCGGCAAGCCTGGCAAGCTTGTCGCGCACGCCGCCGAAGCTCTTGAGAGGATGGCTCGGAATGAGAATGCCCGTGTTGCCGTGGTCGAGAATGGTGCCGTCGAGGTTCTGGTGCAGCTGCTGAAGGAGGGCAGTGCACACGAGCAGGAGTGCGCAGTCCAAGCTCTCCGGAATTTGGCGCTGAATGGCCAGAGGGTGACCATCGGCAAGGATGGCTCCCGAAAGCTGCTTGGCGTTTCGGATCCCAACGTCGGTCACAAGAAGCGCGTCCTCGAGGCCGGCTTTGGGTTTTTGATGTTTTTTGTTTCCGTCACCTTTAAGCAAGCGCACCCGCATCGGAAGAGTGCCGTTGTGACTTCTTGACATCTCGATATCATTATTTGTAATGGGCAAGAGTGCAGGGGACATGTTTTCGTTGAAATCCTAATGAAAACCCAGGCAACCTGAATCACCAAGGGCACGGATCTAGCACAAAGCGCAGCTCAAAACAGATCAAGGGGGGATCTCATTGTTTCGACCTCGCAGTGTGTGTAAAGCTTGTCGGTGCTGCATGTGTCCGCACTCGTTGTTTTGTTGCTTTGGACCAGATGCCTTTGCCATGCGCGACATCACGGTAACATTGGATGCGGACGGCAGTGGTATTGTTCATGCATATAGAAGAACCACAAACTTGTGACACGAGAAATCATGCATGTCCGATTTTTCCGTCGCAGAGACTACCGATAGTGTTTAACCAGTAAATCGTAGCTCCATCACCCTCGAGATCGACGAAAGCCTGCGAAAGCAAGTGACAGGTGATCATGCAAGCGGCCTGCCCTTTTGTGCTTACGGTACGTTGTCAGGATGCTGAAAAGCAGGAAGCAGTGCTAAGCGTGCGCAAGCTCAGGCCGGTGCTGTCGAGCCACTGATTCAGCTGTTGCAGACCGGAAGCGCCGAGGCCCAGGCAGCTGCTGCCGGAACTGTTGCCAACTTGAGTTTGGGCGCAGAGCGTGCCGGAACTGGAATAGTGAGTGCTGCCATCCTGCCGCTGGTTCGCCTCCTCAAAAGCGGGAACGTGGAGCTCCAGCTGCCTGCTGCAAGGGCTCTTGCGAACTTGGCCTTATACGACAAGCTTCCTACCGCCATAGCAGAAGCCGGCGCCATCCCGCTCTTACTTGAGCTCCTCAAAAACGGGAATGGGGAGCTCCAGACACGTGGCGCAGGAGCTCTTGCAATGTTGGCCCGCGACGCCAACCTGGCTGCCACCATAGCCAAAGCCGGCGCCATCCCGCTCTTGGCAGGGCTCCTGAAAAGCAGAGACGTGGAGCTCCAGATGCCCATAGGAGCATGGGCGCGAATCGCGATTGGGCCTTTGATCCCCGAACCAACCCTATGAAGGGCCTGTTTTAGGGGGTTTATAGGGTAGAATAGCCCATGTAGACAGGAGCTCTTTCAAACTTGGCCCGCCACGGTAACCTCCGCAGCATCATCGCTGACGCCGGCACCATCCCGCTCCTCGTTGAGCTCCTCAAAACTGGGAACGTGGAGCGCCAGATGCTTGCTGTGGGAGCTCTCGTAAACTTGGCCCCCAAGGTTGGGGGCACCATAGCTGAAGCCGGCGCCATCCCGCACATCGTTGAGCTCCTCAGGAGTGGGAACGTGGAGCTCCAGAAGGAAGCGGCCAAGCTCGTCGTGAATCTGAGTCTGAACGATTCCAACCTCCGAGCCGAAATCGTTAAGGCTGAGGCCATCCAGCCCCTGGCTGAGCTCCTGCAGAGTGGCTGCACCAGTGCTCAGGAGAAAGCTGCGAAAGCTCTTGAGCAACTAGCCTTCGGAAACGAGGACTACCAGGTCGCCATCGCGGCTGCCGGGACCATCACTCCACTGGTTCACCTCTTCCTAGGCGCCGAGGAAGCGGCAAGCAGAGCAGCCTCGGGAGCTCTTCAAGTCCTGGCGAACAACAGCGCCAACGCTGAGGAGATCAAGAAGGCCCCGATTGAAAGGATCCAAAGCCATGGGGACCAAATGAACCCCAAAATTGGGATCATATGTACCCTCTACTACTACAATTCCGATTAAGGCATATGAACCATAAACCCTTTCAGTCTTCATGGAAGCTTCGGGTGCGCTGCGCTGCTGCTTTTCCCGACTTCCTCGGTGAGTTTCAATCAAGAACACGGGAGTGCCAGCCCCGATTGATCTACCCACCTATTTGCGTGGTCGTCTGCGCCGTACATGTATGCCTTGCCATGCAAAACGAATCAAGAAAGGGAGAGAGAGAGAGAGAGTGATTAATGTAGATATATACATAATTATAAACATGTGTCAATCTATGAGTTGCAATACTTGCTACTTATCTGCATAGTACCCCGCTTCTCTGGTGGCCAGGTCGCCGCGTTGCGGGCGGCCTCCCTTGAGAAGTCTGAGGCGGGTTTCAGCATCCACGGCTCCTTTGGTTTCGTGTTGCTTTTTGAGGTTCGCTGCTGAGGGATGTCAAGGATTCGGCCTGGGGCTTTTTTAGTCGCCTTGCGACTTCTGAGGGCTCAGGATTCTGTGCATGTGTGGTATCGGGTTGCGTCAGTTCGGGCCCATCAGTTGAAGTTTGCAACCCTAAACCCCTAACCCTTAACCCTAAACCCTATAAACCCCTAAACCCATTTTGAGAGAGCCTTTTTGGGGTGTAATCCCGAAGTCTCCTCCTGTTGCGCACAATGCGCCTACAGGAGGTCCAGGATGCTTTGGAGGCCTGGCACGGCATGGAAGTGATTGGTGTGGTTTAGGGTTGAGGGTTACAACAGTTGCAAGATCTTGAACCGGTTACATAGTGACCGGGATTGAGGGAAGGCAGTCGTGCTGCAAGTGGAGAGCTGCAACACGAGTTGCAGAAGCAGAAGACGCTGTAAGCCAACAGCCAAGAACATCTCCTTTGGGAAATGAACCCCAACAATTGGGGTCAGAATTCCTGGACTCGTATCAAGGTGAACCATAGACCTGGGCTCTTGTCGTCCCCAAGGTCTGCATCTCCAGCTCACAGCAGAAACGGAGAGCTTAGCTGAGAAGCTCTGAAGGCTAGGTCCGGGTGGGTTTCCAGAAGAAAGTAAAGTCGCAGGAGCTCAAGTTCATCTGTGGCGACTTCTCCTCCGGCGACTTGGAGGCCATGTTGAACATGTTGCGAGGCCTAGGACTCACGGCAGTCATCGCCCCCCGCGAGGATGAAAGCAGCAAGGAGCCCGAGGTCCCCGCGGGCGACAGCCAGGCCTTGGCTTCTACCCTATAGGCCCTATAGAACTTAAACCCTAAACCCTAAACTTTTTGTTGTGCGGATGCAAGGCCCCTAAGGTCGAAGGTCTATCAACATGTGCGGGTTGCGTTCAGAAGTTACAGCTTGTTGTCTTGACAGACCGAAGGGGTCTCAATTGGAGTACATCTGGGTCACACAAGCCGCCCGACGCCCCAACAGCGAAAAGCCCCCAAACCTAAAGACAAGCACATAAAGTCTAAACCCTTAACCCAAGACCGTAAACCCTAAACTTGGGATGTTCCCCCTTATACTAGCAGTCCTTAATATAGAGATTAACATTTTAAACGCTTGCGCGTGCCGCCTCGGCAGCCGGGCCGGCCCACGGACAGGAAAGGAGGAAAGGTTTTAGGGGGGGTTTGCGGGGGGGGGAAGGGCGTTGCAGGGTGCCAGACTCCCTGGGGAAGGGGGGGGTTCCAGGCAGGTCCCAGAAAGGTCCAAACGCCAAATTCGCACGTTTTGGAGCGCCACGTCTATAGGCGGGACCCCCATGGACCCCCCACGGCATCGGTTTGCAGCTCCTCCAAGCGATTGGGGGGGGCCCGTCGGTAGGGTCTGCTTGTTCCAGACGCTTCTCGGCAGGAAGCCGAGGCGAATTATACTGACAATTAAGGACTGCTACATCCCAAGCCTAAACCCTAAACACCGTGTCCCCTTCCTGCGCGCCAGCTGCGCGAGGCCGCTCCCATCGCTCTGAAGGATGGAACCGGCTCCAGGCGTGTCGGCTCTGAAGTTCTTTTTCTTGTTGGCAGGGGCGGGATGGGGGGTGGGGGGTTATAAGGTTTAGGGTTGAAGGCTGATAGGGTGGAACTAAACCCTGAAACCCTATGGAATCGTTTTGAGTTGCGGTCTTACGTTTTGAGGCCTTCAGGGCCTGAGATTAGGGGTCGACCGGGGTTTAGTGGTGAGGGTGGCGTTCACCAGGCTGGCAATGTTTTCGGCGCGGTTCAATGCCAAGAACAAAGAGACCGAGACGAAGATGCGGCAAGTTCACAAAGTTTTGAGGGATCACAAGTACGATGTGCTGATGGTCGATGCCGGACTTGGCGATGACTTTGGCAAGGCCACCAGGAAGTTCCTGAACCGGCTGAGGAGGGAGAACGGGATCATGCTCTGTGTGTGCTCGGAGGATTACGCGGAGGTGACGGCCTCCAAGTTCAGCTCCTACGAGGAGCTCCGCTACGCGAACTCGAAAGGGCTGGATCTGCTGCCGCTCCAAGTGGCGGACACCTTCCCGCCCGAGCCACCAAGCGGTCCAGAGCACATGTTCGACAAGGACGGGGAGGGTGAAAGCCTCACCCAGTTCCTTGAAAACGAAATATGACGAAATGAGCCCTACTGTAAAAGGGCTTTGTGGTTCAGGGACTTATAGTATAGGGGTATATGACCCCCAATTGAACGGTTCATTTGGTCCCAAGGTTCGCCTTCAACGAGGGCGTTCGAAGGCTGGACTGCCGCACGCTGGAGGTGCAGGAGATTGCTCAGCAGATTGCCGAGCGCCTCCACTGCCTCCACCCTCTCCCTCCCGGAGTCGAGCCTTAAGTTACTTGAGTCATCTTGAGTCATTTGAGTCCTTAAAGCCTTTAACTCTAGGAGTACTGTACTTAAATACCTTTTGTTTGGCTCTCGGTCCCCATTGTAGCTATACTTATCCCTAAACAGTATATGCCTTTTGTTTCCAGGGTTTGCTATGGCTCCAAAGTAGGGTTCACTAACCCTTGGGCCGCCTATGTAGGCCTCCACATGCCTCCTGGAGAAGGCTCGAAACAAAGAAGCTGATTTGAAGCAGCCATAAGCGGCCCTTCCCTCTCTGGTGGATGCGGAGCCCGCGCAACTTCTTGAGGCTGATTCCGGCAGAGTCGGGCGCCTCGCTTGATCACGTAAAGCCGAGCCTGGCACCTTTCACTGCGAAATTGTGGAAGCCTAGCAACGGGGATTGGGACCCATGTCCGTACCCTGCATCCCCGAAACCACAAGATTTCGGGGGGGGAAAAGGTGCTGGAAAGTCCGCGGCGTGCATCAAGCAAAGTCGGTCAAAAAGAATGACCCTTTGCTTGGTCCACACCGCACCAGTGAACCAGGCCATCTAGGCCCTAATTGTGCTGCAAAGCAGCCTTCGACAACACCCACCATTGCGTACCAAAATTCAGGCAGTTTCTCAGAATCCTGCGCTGGTTCCAACATGCAAATCCAATTTTGGCAAGTGTACCACGTGAACCCGTGAACCAGAAACACGTTCAGCACCTTGGGGAGGATGTAGGTACAATGTAGGGTTTTGTGCGGTTGGGGTTTGGGATGAACCCTGGACCCCTGAGCCCGGGGGAGCAGCCAGGGGAAGGAGGATGCGGGCAGACTGTTGGGAGCTTGCGACAACGATTGGGCCCTCTTCAAATACCCAGAATCCTCTGCACGAGTGTGTGCACTAGGATATGATTGGTGTGTTGTCTTCTTCGACAAGGAATGTCACGCGCGCGGGAGGCGTTGCTCAATTTTTCCAGGCTAACACACCTCTGGCTTCGGGAGCTTGACACTCGAGAGTTTTGCTTCCGCTCAGCACAGGCCCCACCATCCTCCCCCTCGTCCTCTTCATCCTCTCGTAACATACAGCGGAAAATGGCAGTTTTCCATTCCGGAATCTAGAGGGCAGAGGGGATTTCCTCATCGAATGTAGAGGACGAAGCTGCGCCGCAAACAAAAAGCAGTAGCCAGTAGCCAAACCAACAAAATCAAGGGAGCAAAAGGCCGCTCGGAACCACCGACAAAGGCTGGGTTCTCTCAGAGCAGTTCCCTTTTTGCAGCTGTTTGACAGTGCCGTGGTTGTGGGGTCGTCAGCCCTTGCTCAATGTCTCTGAGTGCTGCCATGGACAACCCTGCCATTCCAGCCATTGCGCCCAGCGCTGCCCAGCGTACCCTGGCTGAACACCCCTAAACCCCTGAATCCCTAAACCCCTAAACCCCTAAACCCCTAAACCCCTAACCCTCTTAACCCTAACGCTGTGGTCGCCTTGAAAGTGGTATCGCTTTCAGCCTTCATGGCAAGGGTTCGTGTAGGTCTGTAGGACCAGACCGAAGCTTGAAACCTCAAGTACACCAGGGACTCGATTTTCCTACAGTTTAGTGCTAACTACCCCTTAGGTGGTAGAACCCATAAAGCTGCAGGTCAACAGGGCCCCATGTAACTGTTAGTTCTACCTTCCAGATTACATTTTCCAAGTTTCACAGGACGCGGGCTCTGGAAGCAGCTGGAAGAGGAGGTGAGTCCGAATCCTGGCAGAACCACATGCCACCGGAGCTTTGAAGATGCGTTAATAATTGGGGGGGCGGGGGGTGTTCCGAAATTAGGGGTACTTTCTGGGGGGTCTTTATCTTAAGGCAATGTGGGGGATGTATATTGGGGGTCCCTTATGTTCGTAAGCCCCCAAATTGACATTGTTGGCACTTTGCCTCTTCCGTCTCAATTAAAGGCCCCCCCCCTCTCAAAAAAAAGAAGAAGACAGACAAGCAACCTCCGTAGGCGGGTCCTTCTGGGGTCGCATTGGCCGCATATTGGTCTGAAGTGTCGAAGGATCAGTACCCGGGCCGAGACCGTGGACGAGGAGGCTGCTCCCGCGAGACTGCTTTGCCAGGACGCGGCTCTTTCTTGGGTTTTGGTGAAATTCTGTGAGAGTCTGGTTCGAGTCCTCAACGGCGCATGCCGAAGAAGACCTCTGTGTGCCTTCTGATAGGGGCTTCTGTGCTGGCACAGGGCTTCTTGCAAAGAAGTTGAACAAACTTTCGTTGAGGACTTCGTGCACAGACTAGCGGTTTCTAGGAAGGACTTTTTGCCTAGTAAACAAACAAAACCAGTTTATCTCAGACAAGAGCCCTCACCAGCCTGCAGATGACTTTCCGGCCCTGGCTTGAGCTTAATTTTAGCGCTACGTGAGTCGCCGCAGCCTGCGAGGCGCAGCCCAAACCGGAGATCGCGGGTGTGAAGCCCTGTTGTACCATGCAGGCTACTAGACCAGGCACCCCAAGTGTGGGAAGCAAGAAAAATCCCGAATGTGGGTACCAAGTACACCTCAGGCCCGAGTCCTCGGCGCATTTGTCGGCCACGGAGCATCAAACTCTTGCTCGTTTGTCAGGATGCACCAAGTGAGCCCTCGATCGCTGACAGCTCCAGCGAGTGCAACGAAGAGATGCTGGGCTTGGGACTTCTTGAGGGAGGCATTCGTGATTTAATTAAGCGGAGTAGGACGGCTGCTGTTATTCATATCTGAATTGGATCACAGCCCTATATCGTTCCGAGAAACACTGGTGGCCTTCAGTATGCATGGCCCCGATGCTTTCTATTTCGCGTGTGCTGAGCAAGAGTTGGGGATTTGGAGTCGGAAGTGTCTGGTATCTTGGGGCGCTGCAAGGCCTGCAGGTGAGTTTGGGCCACTCATCCACCACTAAGGACGACTGAAGAAGCTGTTGAAAGTCCCGCGATTGAACTGTCGCGTGAGAGGCTGGCCGGGTTCCAGCTTTGTGGAGTCTTGTGCAATGGTGGAAGCTTTTGCTCCGTCCCCTTTCCGCGACTGACATTCCTGAGCGGCCCCCCACGCAACAAGCCCGGTTCTGGATTTACCATGACGCCCTGGGCGCCAAGAGAGCATCAACTCCCCACGAAAATGCCATCTAATGGCATCCCTGTCCCCACAGACACCAGGGCACTGGCGCTGCAATTGGAGCTCATGGCTGCCTACGGCTCGCCGGCGTTCCAGACTCTTAGCCTGAGCCGAAGACTGAAGATGACTATATGGGAACTATATGGACCGGATGCTGTTGTTAACATGTATGGCTCTTAACCCCACCGGTCGAACCCCCCACGCCGCCTCCACAAACCCTGCAAAATGCGATCGCTGCAGGCATAGCCCGCAGACTTGGAGCTTTACGGGAAACGTACACACACGTATCGTCTTTATAATCGTCAACGTAGTCCACTTCCTAAATTTCCTACGTGCATGACAGATTAGGAGCACGAAAACAAGACATGCTCCCCTTTCGAACGTGCACGATACCAGAACGAACACCAAAGACTGAACATTGTATATGTCCTCCATTCTTGCAAGCGGCGAAGTGCAACTCGCAACATGTTTGCGAAATAGATGGAGTTGGACATTCGCTGGCATTTTGGCATGCACTTTCTGCGCCAGCAGTTTTGGGATCCAGAGGATTGCGGCCCAGTTTCAGGGAGTTCTGGGCAAGACGTAGTGCGGTAGTGCGACAAGTGGGGTGCTTCTGCATTTGCAAGGGCGGCTTTGGGTTGTCAACAAGTGCTCAAGGATAACACGCGCAGCACGGACACGCAGAACAAGGGAGCCCCCGTCAAACCACAAACAACCCTAACAAGAAGATCTTGCCGAAAGAAAACCTGCCAACAAAAACAACCACCAAATTTACAAAAAACCCTGAGCCTTGCTGGCTAGATTCGGTCGGGACGTCTGACCCGCAGCCACTCCCGGTAGCCTCTCATACGGCTTTAGGGGTAGCCTTCCCCCCCTAATCGCCCCAGGAAACATCTTCACGAGCTTGGCCGAAAGCATCAGCTGCTCGTCTTGAGACACGTTGTCTGCATTTGCAGGGATGAGGAGGGCGGGTAGGGGGGGGGGGGGGGGGGGGGGTGGGGGGGACTGTGAGGGACTCAAAGGGTGTTGTTGGTGTTGTTGGCATGTTGTGGCTCTTGAGGGTCAGGTTTGCGCCTTCCTGGCAGGGCTCGAGTTTCAAGTTGCTTTGTTGGGCCGCGGATACAGAGCGCCTTTTCGGGGAGACAGGATCCAGGCTCGGAAAGCTCTCCCAAGCCACTGGTTGTCTGGTGTTGAAGCTTCAGGAACGCCACTCCACGAAGGTAAGCTAGCTCGCTCAACCCAAGAAGATACGCAAGGGGGACGTGCAGATGACCTTTTCCGCAAAACTCCCTTAGCACGGCTCTCCAAACAGGCCTTGCATCTTTATAGAACTCTAGAACTGGGTGCCGCAGCCGGCGAGGCCGCGCTCAAACGGCTTCCGCCAGGAGCGACACAAGTTGCAGCTGGGCACGTTTACGGAGTTTACGGAGTTTAGGGTTTTCAGAGCTTCAAGCCGAGTCATGATGATAATCCACTGTACGGTCATGGGCAGATGTATTGTGAACGGCTTCATGGGTGCTGCGGCAAAGGGGTAGTTCTTCCCCTCTTGTTGTTTGGCGATTCTGAGGTAATGGGCCTCATAGACGCTGTACGATTCGAGTGGGTTGTTGAGGCATGTCAAATGTTGGCCGCGGCCCAGGGCGCGGCCAATTTGTTTCTGCCTCATATGGATGCGCAGGGTACCATAAGAAACATGAGAACGACAGCCATCAGATCGCAAAAAAACATCGGAGTTGAACATGTTCTGCTAGGAAGGGTTCCATTTGAACGCGCATTGGCCGAGGCGAGCTTTACCAGGCTCATGCAGGCCTCAGGCCTTTCGTAGCAGGCACCGGAACGCATTTCTGGACCCTTTTCCGCTCTCAACCACCTTGGCTCGTGGCCATTTCAATAAGCGAGCTTCATGTCTTTATCCAAGGCTCCGCCCCAGCAATCCCATCAAATGCAATCCCTGCACCGATCACACACGCTGACTCGGACTCTCCATTTCAGACCACACCGGCATCATGGAGCAGCCTAGGATACGTCGGGCTCAAGCTGCAGTCATCCCGCGTTACGGCTGCTTGACCTTAGGATGAGCAGGGAGGGTTTGGGGTTTCTCGGGTTTGTTGGGCTCCGGGAGATTTCCGGAGGGTTCGGCTCGGGGACAGGCCAAGGGTCAATTCAGGCTGTAGGTTTCTTGAGCTCATGAGCTGGGAACGCATTTGCTTGCAGAGTTGAAGAGGACGGTCGTGAAAAAAGCGTACACTAAACCCATCAGCCCCCAACCCTAAACCCTATAGACCCTAAACCCGAAACCGACAGCCCGAACGCCAGGTTTCGACAGCTCCGCCGAGGGTGTCGAGCTGATGATGCGTGCGTTCGCAGTCTTCGAGACGGATCCAGATATCCAGGTTCAGAGCTTGGCCTTAAGACATATGGCAATGTAGACCTTGTAACCTTGATGCATCTTCAGTGTAGGGGACTTTCTCGTCCCTTAAATCCCGCCCCCCCCCCCCCCCCAACCCCCAACTCCTCAATGCTGCAGGTCAATGCCGAAGCCATCAAGGATCTACTGTCCGTAGAAGCACCGGCACCGCTTGAGGAGGCAGAGATGGGTCACAGACCATCGAGGGTTTGTGAGCATTGTTCAGGGCTTTGGGGGTTTGGTTTGAGGGCTTGGGCTAACGACGCCAAACGGCTAGCAAAAAGATTGCCGTTCGTGGGTCACGGCTCCTTAGGCGTTCGTCACCGTGGATGCCCAGCAGCACCCTTTCCCCCCTCAAGGAGCCAGGAATGTGAGGGCCTCAGCCCCCAAAAACGCCTCCTTGCTTGCTGAAGGAAAGGAGGATGGTCCAAAAGCCACTGACCAAGTTCGTGGTCGTCGACCTGCCGCTGGGTAGAAGCCGCTTCGGGGCTCTGCACTGCGGGAAGCGAGTAACAGCGAGTCTGTGTTCCTTTACGGGCTCGGGGAGATATGATGAGCTATTGGTCCTTCTAGGATCAGCCGTAGGCATGTTAGGTTGATCCAAAAAAAGATCTAGACTTAGATGAACTACGATGAGATATTTGATCCCGATGAGATATTTGATCCTATAGGAGCAACCCTCCCGGGCGCCCCCGGCCGGTGCCCCTTTGACTCTACACCCTGAGAACCCCAAGCCTACTTTCAACTGCGTTCAAGCTAAACTATTGCTATTTCCCTCTAGAAGGGACTCCGATCTGGGATTCGCAACAGCGAGACCTCTGCTTCAGAAGCCCGCCAAGGCTTCGGGCGCAATTTGTCGAGTTCAGCAAGGCACCCTTCCAGGCCGCTGTGGAATCAACTTGGGAGGTTCTGGCTCGAAGCTCGCTGCCTTTTTGGGGACTTTTGGAGCTGTTTTTTGCCTCTGGCGAAAGATCCTTGTCAATCCTCAAGCCTTGGAAACCCAGGCCGACGTCAGGAGCCTGAAGCAGCACGCCGACATCACCAGCGGCAGAGCTCCTCTGAACCGCATGGAGAGAATGCAGATTTGGGATTGTTCCCCCTTACACCAACAATCCTGAAATTAAGGATTCTAGTACCTGTTAAGGACTGTTAGAATAAGGGGGAACATCCCAGATGCAGTTCAGGCCTTTGGAAGTTGGGACAGTTTGTGTGAAGTTTTGGCAGGCTGCGAGAGGATCTGCAGTGAGAGTTTGTTCAGAGGGTTTAAAGAGCCAGAGAGGTCCACACACTGAAAGACGAAAAAGGAGGGCAATGTCACTTGCAAATACGTGTGAGAAGCTCTTGTCAGGGTTTAGGGTGCTGAGCTTGGCATGCGGCATGCCAGTTGACATGCGAACTCTCCAGCACGTGAAGTGCCCCAAGCCTTGGCAACCCGCGAAACTGAACCTTGTTCCTTACACCTGGCGGGGTGCCTTCCTTATCTTTGAAGCCGTGAACTCTGAACCTTGAGCCCTGTGAGCCCTAAACCGGTCTAAGCCCAAAGCCCCAGTATAGGGGGGGGTGTCCGAGTCGATGTTACCCCCAACTTTGAGTCGCTGAGTCAGGTCACCCGGGATAGAGCCCGAAGAGGCAACTGGATTGCTGGGAAACTTTGGCTTCGCGAGCGCTTCAGACATCTTTGCTTGGGGGCTTGGGGTTCTCTGTTCTGTGGTGCGATAAAGGCTGCGTGAAGAAGGCTGAGAGATTCGGCTGGGATGCTGCTGGCATGCTGTGATCCCTAAGGCTTTAAGGTCCTAAAGCCCTAAGCCCTTAAGGCCCTAAATCCAGAAACCTTAAACCCCAGGCCCCAAACCACCGCCCGGGGAGCGCCGAAGCGTGTTGTGAACCCTGGAGGTGGCAGGGAGGATGGCAAGGAGGATCCCGACGGCTACTTCCACCTCAAGGGGCGCGCCTTGCCACAACTGGAACACCCTTGGAGAGGTATATATCTATATGTATATATATATATACACATTGTACAATACATAGCTACAAAGGGCTTAATTAGGGTCTCATACAGTGCTTGTGGCGGAGGCCCTCGCGACACATTTTTGGGATTATGACTTTGCAGAGGCTTCGGACGGGCAGGCCTAGACAGATGTCTTTCTTGTCGTGGCTATAGGGGTTCAGGGAGATCTGGTGTCGAGGCGTCACCGAGATGCGTTGAGTTGGGACTGTCACGAGCTGCTCTTAGAGCCACCAACCGATAGAGGAAGAGAAGTGTATGAGCCGTTTGGCCTCTGCTCAAGGTCGTGACTTAAGCTTGTCCCACATGCCTTCTACCCCCTTATCCCGCCCCTGTTTACCCCCTTCTACCCCCTGTATGCCCCTTTCTACCCCCCTGTGCCCATCCTCGGGGCCCTCAGCTCCCGAACAGCAAAAAGGTAGCGAGCTCGCCTTCATTGTGCAGCAAGTGCTGCTGCCAGAGTACGGGTTCGCTCCTACGAAGGTGCAGACATGGGAGGTTTTTGGGGAGACTTCAAAAGGTTTCGGGCTTAGGGCTTGGGGTTTAGGGTTTAGGGCTTAGGGTTTACAACTTTGCCGATTCCTTTGAAACTCGGTGTTGTCGCTGCTAATTGAGAACAAAAAAGCAGAGGATCTTGTTCTCGCAAGCACGTCATTTTGTGCCAAATAACTATGACGGATGCGGAGAACAGGAAGTGTCACACACAGCTTGCAGTTGTTCATTGGCATAGTGTAGGACCAACTTCCCTGTCGAAGGAGGGCGTATTGGAAATGATCCGCTGCGGCCTCAGACTTGAGCTGCTACTGAACTGATTTCTGATGCTGCCTGCGTCCGCTGACGGAGAACTCGTCTTTGCACCAGACCTTCTTGAGCTCGCTTTGAGAGCTCTCTTCAGGGGCTAAGCAGCACAAGCAGGCATGAGAGAGGGGTGTGCGCATGTAGTCGAATTCTTCACAGGTCACTGCGCTTCCTTCGTAGACGACCCAGAGGTGCAACAGCTCCTCGATCAGGTAAATGAGAGGCTTGGCTGAGTTTGGCTTGGGCTTTAAGGGTTTCGGGCAGATGCCCCGGCCCTAAGGTGAATGCAGCATCTATGCGCAACACCATGAACTCGGCAAAGCGACCCCGACGCTCACCAGCCCCTTCAAAGCCCATACAAATGGGGAATTTCATCTCCATGGGTAACAAGCCCTACAACAACCAGACCATTTCTCAAAGAGGAGGCCTCGAATTCATGTAAGACCCTCACGACTCACGGGCAAATAAATCAAAAACCCGGCCTCGCCAACCGGTTCCATTGATGTAAACATGGGCGTTGGCACTACTACAGTAGTCTGGGTTTCTTTGGCCAGGCCTGCAAGTGTCATTTTTGTCTCCTACAGTACCAGGCCTAGGCAAACCCCCGCTTCCGAAATTTTTGTCAGACTTTTGATCGGGAGGATGATGCTTCAGTGGTAGTGCATTTGTGGAAACGAAGGAATACTACGTGGGTCGAATGCCTGATTGCCAGAGAGACGGCCCATCCGAATTGAACTACTGTGTTCCAGATTTGCTAGAGAAGCCGTTGCTCGGCATGTGTTTTGGTGGACATACAGATCCCCAACTGTACGGCTTACTTGGCTTGGAAACACAGATAAGAACCTGTAAAAGATGCGAAGCTCACGAAAAGGCGGGTGTTTTGCTGTCGAAAACACAGACCCACACGGGGACCCTCTCAAGCAGCACTAGAAGTACGAGTATTGCTGGTACTACCAGTGGAGTACGGTTGGCAGCTGACGGTAGGGTTTGTGCTGCTTCTCCTTGGTTTCATCGTGGTGCAGAGTGACATTTTCGTTTAGGATATCGGCACCGGGGGGGGGGGGTAAGGAGGGTGCCTTTTGGCAACATCCTACATGGGCTCAGCTTCACTTCACCCCAGGCTTGATCAGTCCAAGGTACGCCCAATTTCTCCATGGATTTGAGGAGCGTCAAGCGCAGTCCACTAGTCAAGGTATGCCTTGATTTGAGAGAGGGGTTTGAGGAGTGTGCGAGCACAATTACTGCCCTGCACAACAAGCCGCTTTGGGTACCGGGATGCCACGACCCCCGTCTAGCCCCAAAGGCCCATGATAAGAAATCGCTATTCCCTGGCAGCGCAACAAGTGTGGGAAGGAATGGAAAGGGGCCGCGATGTGCATCAGTTCCGTACGAAATGGTACAAAATCCTTTGGGGTTGACATCAAGCCCAACTGGAGCAGGAAATGCCTTGGATGCAAACGAAGGTGCAAGCTTAAGTCCCAACAGGCCTCTTTCGGGGGAGCAGGTGTAGTGGTGCTGGGCGCTCCGAGGGTGCAATCATCAAGTCGACCAACCTCTGAGCTGAATATTTCGAGTTTCCACGGCGTCCGAATTTTGAAGGTGTTCGATGGGAACCCCCCCCCCCCCCCAAAGCCCTAAATCCTAAACCCTCCTAAACCCTAAATCCTAAACCCTCAACCCAAAAAAAAGTAAAGCACCCAAGCATGGCATGCCTAAGGAAGCTCGGCATGTCTCCGGCGGCCTGCAAGCGGTTCCGCAATCTTCTCCAGGGCATGGCGGTTTAAGGCGGAATTCATGAGGGGTCGATCCAGCTTTAGGGTTTAGGGTTTAGGGTTTGTACATAATATACGTGATTTAAAAAATAAAAAACATATACATAGATATATATATATATATACACGCTTCAGAAGGCCAGCAACCTTTTTTCGCATTAACATCTTCACAATTGTCGACCCCCTGGACCCAGTAGAAAGCCTTCATTCCTTGGTTTCCACGGGTCCGTTCCTGCTGTCCAGTGAGCAGTGTCGCCAAGAAGGAACCAATACTCCTGCCCGTGCTCACCGGTTTGAGTCGTAGAAAACATCTAGAATCCCCTCGTTGTTTGTTTGTGTGATGCTTGGGTTTTGTTTCCTTTCTTGACCTCTCCTGGTAGCATTGGAAAAGGCATTGCTGTTGGAACCATTAGGACTACTGGCATCACACACAGGCTTAGCCTGTCGTCTGTTCCCGTGTGCGCGTGTGCCTGCCGATCTGTCTGTGCAGATATTCTGAGCAGGATATGGTGAAGTGCTGTTCTGCATTTTTAGTCGCAGTTCTACCCTTTTCATAGCATCAAGGCTTCGCAGGTGAGAGTACAACCGTTCGTGCTATGCCGCTATGCAACATGCACGAGGGAGGCCAGAATTCTTTACAGACAACAATCACACCTTGCAAGGTGCAGCTTACTTGGAGCAGGAGATCATGAAGCAGAGGGTCAGTCGAGTCTTTCGACAGTATGGTCACTGCTTCAGGTCTTGAAACCAAGCTGCTAAGCCGCATCGCAAGCTGCGCAGCCTCACACATTTTCCAGTCGGCGGTTGCTTGCAATGGCGTGTGTGTGCTGTTTTAAGTTGCCCGGCTTGTGTGCGTCAACGAGCGCCGCAAGTCAAGTGAATATCTCTGGGTCCTTCATAGAGAGACCCTGCAGACATGAAGGCAGATACGGACAATCTTGGCGTCATTAGAGACTCAAGCATCCGGGCATGCCCTGGATCCCATCTGCATTCCTCATTCGACCATCTGGCCATTCCGCTTTTGTCTCAACATCAAGGCCCCCGAATGTGAATGCAAGAGGTCTAAAACACAAGTGTAGTTGTGTCGGACGCGTCCTTGGTGGCTGGGACACATCCATCTTTCGGCAGTTGGCCCATTTGGGGCCAATTTGCCCAATTGCTTGCCGTTGGGCTTCGGAGATGCCGGTCCGGCTTGTGTATCAAAGCAGCATAGGCACGAATTAGCGAGTGTCATGCAGGCCACTCACTGTCTATTGTTCTAAACCCTAAACTCTAAATGTCCCCATAAACACTACATGTACGTCACATCCACATTGTGACTCAAATGCCTGCACCCGGCCGCTTGCTTCCGATCTGCGGATCGGCGCAAGAAGCCGAAGAGTTTTTAGGGTTTGGGGGCTTAGGGTTTAGGGTTTAGGGTTAGGCTTTTGGGGAGGTCCTCTGTCAATGCTTTTTGTTCCCTGGTGCATCCTGTGATTGTCTCCCCCTTTTACTCACTGAAACTGATCCCCCAAGAGTTTTTTAGAAAGCTGCGAAGCAGAAGTACCGTATGCAGGATCGGAGTGGATACATGCGTTCCGAGTCACTGAGACGCACTCCGGCATCTCAGCCATTCAAAGCCCAGAAGGCTGTGGAGGCGATTTTCCCCGGAGCCCAAAGCCCTATCACGGTTGGGGGCTTTTATGTGGGCCCAAATGCGCCCTTCAGAGAACTTTACGAGGACCTCCTGCTTGTAGCGTGGCATAGGGTAGATGTTCTCACAACTGGTCTGTTGTCCTCATTGCAGTCTAGCTCACCTTGCTCAGGCCACTCAAAAATCATCATACTAGATATGGTTTCCCAAAACTGGGGTACCCTGATTCTAGGAACCCCCAAAAAGGCTACCCCTATACGGAACCCCCGTATGCAAGAAAGCGGTCTGAAGTCTTGTCCCTCTGTGTACGACGTCCTGCTCTTTCATTGCAAGGGTGCAGAAACAGCTACAGCCAATGGCGCTCCGAGAGGTCTAAAAGTAGTATGTTTGCAGGAAGTGCAGAATCCACAAGAGTCCACAAGACGCGCCTTAATCTTCAAGCCGTCACCAAGGGAGGAAGTCCATGGACTATGCTCGGCATCTAAGCCCGTCAAGGCCATGGTACCCTGCTTTCTATTCTACATGAAGTGGTCCTAGCAGGCAGGGGCATAGCGAGGCACTAGCCGTTAGGCAGAGTAGCTCGCCACGTCTTGCAGAAGTTGGCAAGGCATCCTAACGGCACTTGCCATCCAACCCTTACTCTTGAACAACAATTTGGGGAGCGCCCTCGTCCAGAATCGGACATGTGTCTAGTCGAGACCATGGCTGGTGTCGATGTCAAATGCACTTGCGCCCTTCACCCGATGCCCTGTGGCGTGCGAACAAGAGTTCAAGGGGTCTCAAAGTCAGTTCAGGAATGCAGTTGTGGTTCAGAGGGCTTTCCGCTCTGCGGTTGCACAGTTTGATTTGAGGTTTGCTAGGTTTTAATTTGCCTCACTGTCGAATGGCATAATGTGCATGGCATTCAGGTTTCGCTTGGACGCAGCATTTAAAGAGGAAGCTGAGCCGCAGGGATGGAGGCTCGAGGGCCAGGGTGCTTCATTCATGTAGTCACCTGGCACCGGAGATGCTGATCCTTATGAGTTTTTATCCGAATTTGATGTTAAGTCAATATGGGCTCAGGATATGGGGCCAAAAAGCCAAAATGGGCGCGTCACAAGATTCATCCGAACCACTTGTGGATGCACATTTTTTTCGATGCATGGAACTTTGATACACTGTGATACTGTTCTATGCCTTCAGGCTGGTAGTCCTGGCCAAGCTTAGCAAGAAGCTTGAGTAAGCGCTTCTTTATGTTACAAGTCTGGGCCAAGAGCTTCAGTCTCAAAGCGTCATTCTTTGGGAGACACAGAAAGAGAGAGAGAGAGAGAGAGAGAGAGAGAGAGAGAGAGCGAGAGTGGCCGTGGCCTTCCCTAGGGGGGCCCTCTCCGCTGTGCAGAAGAAGAAGAAGAAGAGAGGGAGAGCGACGGAAGGGAGACAGAATCAGGGGGCTGCGGCCCCTGAGCCCCCCCAAACGAGAGAAAAAAAGAAAGAAAGAAATAAGGAAAGAGAGAGAGAGAGAGAGAGACAGAGAAAGAGAAAGAGAAAGAGAAGGAGAAGGAGAAAGAGGGAGAGGAAAACACTCGGCGGAGAAGAAGAGAGAGGTCAAGCGGAGAGAATTGCTTGTCCTTAAAAGGAGCATTCCTCAGGGACTTCAACAGTCCTCCAGGCTCTTCTTGAGTCTTCGGTCCGGTGTCGAACAAAGTGTTTACAATCGTGTACATAGTTGTTGTAGGTGTAGGAGGAAGGAGACACCACATTCTCATGGATCCATGCGCCTCTGAGATATTCCAGGGTCTAGCCTTGACGTGCTCCGCAAAGGGCCTCAACCTTGCGGAGTGGGCTTCCGCTAAGAGGCTCTGAACCCTAAAAACCCCTAGAAGCCGTAAACCCTAAGCCCTACCACCCATGGGGGCTACTGGATCCTTGGGCTTGTGCTGGGCGTCTCAGCATGTGCCGGCAAAGCCATCGCCAAGAAGAGTCAGCAACGGCAGCTGCTGTCAGAGCTGAAATCATTGCTTGCATGTGTGTGCGGAGTTTGAGAGCAGAGCGGGGGAGGCGAGGGTGGCGGTGTCAATCACTCCGGCGATGTGCCCCCTGGCCCCACAACAGCACACAGGCTTGAGACTGAATTGCAACTGCACCTGCCTAAAGGAGCAACTCCTGAACATGAGGCGGGCGCGGGACATGGAACTACAGGACGCTCGCAGGGCAGCTGTGAGGAACCGGAAAATTGAAGGGGTTCGGGTGCCCTTTACGCCCTGAAGGGTTAGAGAAGGAAACCGGGGAAGGGAACCCACGCAAAAGCACTCTAGATAAAAACCGTTACGGCGAAAACATCGGCCCAAAGCGAGCTAGAATACCGTTACCAAAAACAAACGGAAAAAAGCGAGCATCACGGGGCATCTCCTTCCCCCATCCTAAACCCCCCTCCCACCCGTAGACCCCGCCGCACCCTGAAAAGGCTCAGGTCCGGCAGACCCTCCGTTTTTTCTTGGACCCGAGAGCGCGAAAATTACCCAAAAAAAACGCTGGGACACGGGCTCGAAATCGTGCACTCCGCCAGGCCCATGCGAAAACTGACTTCAAGACCTTTCCGTGGATCGTATCGATTCGCGGGCTCCGTGGCACCGGTTCGACGGCGTCTTGGCACCGGTTCCACAACAGCCGAAACCGGGCTTTGTCAACGCAGTGTCTAGGAGCCATTTTCAACAAAAAGCCCGAGACCCTGAAAGGACTATCGCGGGGCGAGCCAAATTGAGATCAGGGATCAGAGCCCCTTTCTTCAAGACCCAGCTGCTCGAACGGTGTCTGCAAAAGGCTTTCGGGGCGCGCCGGGAGACTTCGCAAAATACCAGGGCCCTCCGGGAAGAATCATCGAACTGATGTTGCAAGAAGTACTTTGCTGGCCGCTTCGTCGCAGGCTTTCCAAAAGCTTTCCCCGAAATGCAACCAGTTTTAATCAGTTGAAGATCTGCACCTAGGAAGTCTGCACATCAGATCGGGACAAGCTCATATGCATAGCAGATGCTTAGGAAATCTTCATGGTTCCGAGATTCCAAAACATTCCAAAACCACTTCCTTTTTTTTTGAAAATATGTCCAGAGCCTGGGGTTTCGTGGCTCCAAACGCAGGAAATCGTTGAAGGTAACAGCCTTGGAATTCATGGCTCCAACAACAGGAAAATGTGGGCTCGCAAAAGGGTCCAGAAAAGCTAGGGCTTCACGGCCGCCAAGCCAGAAACCCGGCCCAGCAAAAGCGTCCCCAGGGGCACCAGGGTTTCAGGGTTAACCAGGACCGGGGCCTAGCAAAGAAACATCCAGGCTAGGGGGAACCCATGGCTCACATCGAGCCCGGGCTTCGCAGTCCTTGGGGACCAACATGAACCCTAAACTTGGGGGGAACATGGGGGAACCAGAAACCCTTTTAGGGTTCTTGTCGTCTGCAAGGGTTGCAGAACCGCAAGAGCCGCCAGAGTGTCAGGAGTTGCGGGAACGAGCGTGTCGAGCGTTTCGAGCGTTCATCTGCAATCGTCTACGCAGCCTCTAAGTTTCAATCATCTTCCATCAACCTGAATGAAGCAATTCTGGTTTGCCACCGCAATGTGGGCGCCTTCGCGCATTCTCATTCTGGCGGTGGTTTGGCTTGGGATGCCTCCCCTTGCCCAGTCCTACAAGTTGTCGGAGACACCAATCGACATTACCAACTCCAACGACCCAACGGTGGCTGAGAAGGTGAGGACATTTCTAACGGCGACTCCAGTTGTCAGCTTCTGCTTCAGTATTTAAAAGGATAGGCTACTTCGGCCTTATAATCCCCATAATCAACCCTATTAAAGGGCCTTTCCAAGGGCAGGGTTATAGGGTCTAATGGCCCATCCTGGTAAGTGCCAGAACGCACCGCTTCTATAAATTTCAGCTGCGCAGGTGGAGAAGTTGATCGAGACGAACTTGTTGCATGATGCCGGCGACACGAACGCAATGCCGGAACCGAAGGAGGCCGTATACGCCGTATACAGTAGGCCCCATGAGTTCCCAGAGAATTGCAATGACATAGTCTGACATAGTGCAGATATCTTATGAATGCACCTCGCGGGTGTTGAGAGTCTTGTGAGTGAGTCAGTGGAGATGCAGGGCTTGAAATCGACTTCCAGTAAATGATGTAGAAGAATGCCCTCTGCCGCGTCTTACCGTCCAGTGTGGCAACTGCAGGGACAGCTCCGCTGTAAGCTGTGAATTCAAGTCTCCCGGCCCAGCGTTGATTCAAGACCCTTGGCCAGGAAGGCAATGCCACCAACGAAACTCGAGGGATGGGCGCGCTGGCGCAAAATCTGGAGTTCATCTTCATGAAGGCGCGATGAAGGTGCTGTCGTGAGAGCAGAGACGAGACAACCACTATGTCCCCCACTCCAGTTTCAAAACCTGTGTCGGAGGTGGCACAGCTCGAGACGGTGGTGCAGTTGCAGCAGGCCGAGATCAACGCCCAGCAGCTCGAGATCGAGTCTCTGAAGAAGCATACAGGCTTCTTCGCTGCCCTTATCGTGCATTTTGCCGAAACCGCCTATCCCAGGAGTACTGGAGAATGCAGAGAGATGCAGTAGGACACCGCTCCCAATACTGGAAGCCACGTCTAAGGTTTGGAGGCCCAGCACGTGGAAATGGCACGGAAGCACTCCCGGGATCCTCATGCTGTCCAGCATGTCTTGAACCTTGGGCCTTTGGGGGGGGGGGGGAAACTCAACAAGCAGAGGCTTCCTTAGTTGACAAGTCTAGTTTAAAAAGGTTTGATAGTGCTTCAGATACCTTCATGAAAGGGGTTTGTGGGTTCAACTTTCATACTTGTAGGACTTATAGCATCTTATAGTACGGTTTGTGCTCCTTTGGTCCCCCAAGGAAAGGAGTCTTTGACAAGCACCACCGCCAGCGTGAGACGCGCGAGTACCACCACCAAGGTCACGAGGACAGCAACGACGGCGTGAGTGTTGGGTTCAGCAAGCTTTTAAGATTGCCTTATGCCGCGTGGGCACGTCTCAGTAGCAGCCGCAGATAGCCGCAGCACGTGGCGGATCTGACATGATCCAGATCATCTGGCCTTACACAAGTAGGGAATAAGGCGTGCCTGACAGCACCGCAATTTTTTCCCCGTGTCACTGCTGAAACGACTGGCCCTCATCCTATGCCACCCAGCGCCCTATTCCACTGCTCCAGAGTCTCTAGAGGTCCAAAGAAGGCCCCTGACTTGAAGACCCGTCTAGACTCCAGAGGAAGAGAGGCATCCGGCTGAGCCAGCCTCAGAAAGAGCCGCAAGCACTGCGGAGGCGCTGCTGCAGCGTCAGGCAGGGAGTCTTATAAGGGCTATTGGGATCTATTGGGGCACCGTCTTATGGTCCGGTTTGGGGTTTGGGGACCTTGGGGACCTGCCTGCCCAACATCTGGAAAAAGACCCAACCATCCCGAAAGAGAACCGGACAGGAGCGCAGTGTCTCGGAGAAGTCGGACTCTTTGGACCACTCTGTGGCCAGCAAGTGGCTCGACCCAATCACCAGGACAGTCAATAAAGCCGTTGACGCCGTCGATGGCTCTGGCTTGACTGGTGGCGCTTTGAAGGATGCTTTCAACAAGGTGAAGGAGAAGGGCAAGGCTGTTGAGTTCATTCAGAACACCGTGATCGATACGGTCGAGAAGGCAACCACAATCCTCATGAACTTCAAGGGCTTCTCCTTCACTTCAAATTGCCGTACAGGGGTCCCAAGTGCCCAGCTGCATGGACAAAGGCTTAGCATTGGCTTCGGTTCCCTGTACTGCTCCGTCACTCTGGTGGGGAAAACGGTCGTTCTCTTCAATAGCAATTTCGGCCACAGGGACGTGCACTTTCCAAATCCCTTGGACTGGCTGCCCGGCCAAATCAGGGAGCTTACGCACGCGCCCTTTCAGGTCATCCAACGGATGTGGTGGTTCATGAACGACCTCATGCACCACACCCATCACTGCGACAAAAACAACCCGTTCCACTGCCTCGCCAAGCGGGTGGCCAGGCACGTCATGGAGTTCGAACCCCCTTTGAACTGGCTACCAGGGCAGCTGGGTGAGCTGGCAAAAGTGCCCTTTAACGTTATCCAGCGGATGTGGTGGTTCATGAACGACCTCCTGCACCACACCCATCACTGCGACCAAAACAACCCGTTCCACTGCCTTGCCAAGCGACTGGGCAGGTTCGTCATGGAGTTCGAACCCCCTTTGAACTTCCTGCCCTCGCCCGTCAAGGTTCTTGCAGGCACGCACGTCAATTCCATCAAGAGCGTGCTGGCGATGGGGAACGAGCTGATGCGCTGCCAGCATTTTGAGTCAGGTACAGAGGTGACGAAGTGCCTGGGCAACAACATCATCGGGAGCGTCCCTCCCCTCAACTTCTTGAACCACCTGGGTGAGATCATCGGCGAAACGATTGAGACCTTCGCGAAGGCGGCCACGGCTGTGATGAAAAAGGCCTTGAAGGGCGGTACTTCTTTTGTGCAGAAGGCCAGCGTGTCCGAGTTCCCGGCGGTCGGCAAGATGCCGGTGGTGCACCACCAGGACGACCATCTTCTTGTGGAGGCACACTCGCAGCTTCTGCACCCTTCGCTGTTGCAGTACTCCATGAATGCGGAGGCAGGAGCGCCAGAGTTCAAGCTGGGGGTGGGCGGAAGTGCGGAAGTCACAAACCTGATCACCCAGTTCGATGGCAGGGAGGCCGACACTGGCTCCTGCCTCGCCTTTGCCCCAAGCAGCAAGAACGGCGCCCAGGTGGAGAATCATCGCCAGGCCACCAAAGCTGACTGGCAGTCAGCCAAGAAGGAGGACTTCGTGAAGCTGGAGCCCTGGGCGGTGCCCTGCGACAATGCTTGGATGAAAGAGAACTGGGACAAGTGGCAGGGTTATTCCTTCTACACCGCCCGCACGGACATCGAGAAGTGCATCTCAGTGTCCTTTGCGATCTCAATTCAGCCAGTGGTCGCCTTTGTTGCAGGCTTATCTGTCGAGCTTCTGCCAAAGCCTCTCTTCAAGTTGCTATAGCCCCCTTACGAATCATTTTCTATTTGTTGTATATAAACGCAAGGGAATGTTAAGAGTCCTAGTTTTTGAAGGTTCTAAGGGAAGAGTGGAGGTTGATCACCACAGTGTGCTGGCCAAACCATATGCCTGGCGGCCTGGACCTCACAGTGCTGCGCTCGGAGATCAAAACTGGGGGCGGCCACCTCCTTTTCAGCCGGACGCTGCGCCTTGCGAAGCGCTTCGGCGACCACACGAAGTTTGTGAAAGAAAACCTCCAGGGAGGCTATCAAACATGGAGATCCCCGATCGGCATCGCCAAGGGCGAATCGAGGCACGCTTTTGCCCCCATGAAGCTCTTGGAGAGAAAGAGCAACGTCTCTTACAGTGCCAGTGAGCAAGGGGAAGCCGAAAAGGGAGAAGCCGAAGAAAGTTCCGATGTGGCAGAGGCCGAGTCCTCCTACTACTGGAGGACGGAGTCTGTGGGTTTAGGGTTAGGGTCTAGGGTTTCGGGTTTAGGGTCAAGGGATGTCAAGGGTTCGACTGCAGGACCGAGTCTGAGGACCTCTACATGGCCTCCATCGACTACAGCGACCAAGCCGAGGCCAACAAGACCTGGGAGCTCCGGGGCCCCGAGGCCTTGCGGCACCTGAGCGCCATGCAGGAGGCCCAAGGCCACTTTTTGGGATACTTCTGGGAATCATGTTCTTTTCATTTTTTTGGTACTATCATTCCTAGAAGAAACCAGCAAAAAGTATAAGTGTTTGTTGGTTTTTTGGTACTATAATTCCCGCCAAGAAACCAGCTAAAATTGTATAAGTTCTGCTAGGTTATACAATTTATAAGTTCTGCTAGGTTTCCAAGTTCAGCATAGGCCAGGGCAAGGACAGCGTCATCGAGATCTTTAAGTTCAAGAAGCCCGGGATGTCGAACTTCGAGATTTCAGGCCTCCTCGACGGCAACAGCCTGGAGTTGGGGATCCAGATCCTTGAAGTTGTTTTTACGCAAAACTTGCAGATGTGCCTAATTCAAACATTTGCAGCCTTGTATGGATCCCGAATCCCCATTCTGAAGGTCTAGACCTCTATTTCCCCTCAGGATGGGCTTCGGGCCGTACCAAAGCCCAACGAAAAGGGCCCCTCTGGCGGACATCGGGGTGCAGTTTGCTGTCATCTTGAGCGCCATCCCATGGATCTCCGTGGAGACTTACAGAAGAGTTGAGCGGTTGAAGCCTCGTTTAGGGGCTTCCTTGCTTTTCTAGGAAGGATCATAAGCTCATAGCAGAGTTGAAGCTTAGCCTTTTATAACTCTTCCTGTTGAAGTTCTTGGAGAAGATAAGGAGACCAAGAAGACTGCCATCCGCGCCCTCTCCGACTTCTCTACCAAGGACGCTGGCCGCGTGAAGGGACTCGAGCTTCGGCCCGGATCGGTGCCTCGGGGACGAGTTTTGTTTAGGGGTTTTGGGGTTTAGGGCTTAGGGTTGTGAGGTTTTGGGGTTTAGGGTTTAGCGTCGTACTCTTGTAAGAAATCTTCAACGTACCCCATAAGGGCATACCCCCTCAAGCGAAACTTCGGGGGGTGTGGTACAATACTTCTATATATATATATATATACTTTTAAAGAACTTATGGGATCAGGGGTAGGGGTTTTGGGCATGTTGAAAAAAATGAAGTGTTCTTCCTTTTGTAATTGTGATCATCAACCGAATATGCTATAATCTACAAACCCTAGATTTCTAGGGAACAGCAAGCCGTTTAGGGTTTGTCCTTAGTCCCTGAGGTCATTGCCCTCCACAACAAGGCCCATAACCGCTACATGGGCATGTGGCCTGATAAGCTTTGGACGAGCCCGGAAGCGACTCCTGACGGCATTCGTGACTGGTGGACGCACGAGCGCTTCACCGTGTCTTGGGGACGAAATGGACCCTCAAAGGGTTTATGGTCCATATAGCTTCATAGGAATTATAGTAGTAGAGTGTATACCTGTTTATGTACATATATATATAGATATACGAATTCAACTTTTGGGTTCTTTTAGTCCCCAAGGTGGTGGATGCCGGGGGCGGTCAGATCGCCCTGCACAACGCGCAGCACAACCGCTTCGTCAAGGAAGGCTCGGGGCCCTGTGATTGGCCCTCTTTCTGAGACATGCCCCCCCCCCCCCCCCCGCTTTTTGCTGAGAGACGTTGCCTTAAATCAAATGAGTCATGTTTATACATATATATATATATATTATTTATTTATTTGTTTCTTTCTTCATTTATTTATGTATTATGTTATTTATTTCTACAGGCATATATATGTACATATATATGCTACACCCTGTTTTTTTCTGTATCCCACTATGAAACCTCTGGATATGATACCAATCAAATTGTGGGTCCGAAGAAACAATTCAAAAAGATGGAGGCTGGGAATTTGGAAAGTCAATTGATGGATGCTCGCAGTATAAATTTGCAGATCCAAGGTCCCCCCCCCCCACTCCCGCCCAGGATCCACACCTTTCTTTCACTGTCCCTCTTCTCCACCCCTTGCTCATATAAACTATAAGAAGCATTGTGACACCGATATCTTCCTATAATATGGTCCCTCTGTAAGTCGGACATCAAAATAGCTAAGGAGTTTAATGGAACCAAGTAAACTCAACAAATCGGCTATACTAGATAAATTATTTGTTTTTAAGCTTACAAGGCCCCAAACCCTAGGAAGAGCGACTGTCCTGTAACATCATCCAATAAGCAAGACTTAAATATACGAGTATCTCCCAATAAGCACAACTTACAAGACCCCAGACCCGGCACCGGTATCCCGAATAAGCAGAGCTGAACAGGCCCCTGAATAGGCAAGGTTAAAGACATCCCCCGAGAAGCAAGACTTACAACAGATGCATCATGAGCTGATACGCAAAGAATAAAGGACAGCTACTAGGCCACTCATGCGCAACGTTTGTTGTTTTCAGCGTGGAGGGAGTGGAGGGTCAATGAAAATGTTTAGAAGTACTTGTTGAAGGACCGCAACTTAATTAACTGAAATAGTTGCATTCACGTGCGAGTAAAAGAAATTCCGTGATCTAAATTAAGTAGATTCCAATCCTTTTCTTAAACCTCTCGTATTTAATTACCGTTTAACTCAACTAATTGAATCATGCTTCCAAATACTTGGATGAATTGCTGAATCAACTTGTTTAGTCTACGTATTTTCCATTATTCCATTCATGTAATTCATTTTAGTAAGGCTTATGATCAGCTGAAAAAAATCACTGGGCCCTTAGCTAAAAGAATTAAGTGACTTGAATACCTAGAATCCTGTCCTTTAAAGAATAACTGAAGTGGTGCGATTAGTTTCAATGATGCTGAGGTTTCCTGATAAGAAAAAATTCAGTTCATCTAGTTTGTCTAAGGGCTAATTGCACATTGAAGTAACTAAATTTTCGACCTTTATTGAACTGGCCCCTATGTGGATTAACTTTCTTTAAGACCGTACATGCACCAATTTACACTACTTGACTCCATTAACCCCTAATTTGTTAAATTCCACTTATGCCCTAATGTCTAAGGGCCAGTTGCCCACTGAACTAGTTAAATCACGACCTTTATTGTAATGGCCCCTATGTGGACTAACTTCTTCTTTTTGAGACCACATGCATCAAGTTACGCTATGCCCGAATGTAAAATGTAGTAAGTTCAACTTGTGCTCATTTCATCAGTTAGATGGTATTTCTTGCGAATGCTGAGGTATTCAAGCACTTTTATTTAAGCGGTGCTCAGCTCAGTAAATTAGTTGCTTCATGCAGTTGCTTTCGTTTGTAACATTAACATGCAGTTTGTTTGACTTGCTACTTTCAATTCTTTCATTAGTACATGGGTTTGGTTCATTTAAGTAAGGGCTATTTCGTGTTCATTAAGAAAGAAACCATTCCAATTGTTTCAGACGTATAATTCCGAATCCCAGAACCCCCTAATAGCAGAATTCCAGTTTCTTTCAGACCCCTAATTCCCGAATTCCAGAACCTGGATTTCTGGAATTAGGGGTCAGAAAAAATCTGGAGTTCTGCAATTGGGGGGGCCGAAAAAACTGGAATTCTGGATTTGGGGAGCCGGAAAAAAAAGTCCGAATCTGGACAAGATAGCCACATATGAGTATGTAACTTTAAAGTGTTCAGTTTGCAGCTTTGAATGACGGCAATGCATCAGGATTAGGACCAGACCTCATGGCAAAGCATAGGGAAGTGTGGTATTTTTTTTGGGGGAGGGGGTACCACGTATATATGCATATATAAAATTAAGTCGCGCAGGTGGGGTCAGCCCTCACAGAAACGTGAACGACCTCCCGCCTGCCCACGAATGGGGAGCAGAGCGCTTCAATGTGGTGGATCTCGGAAATGGAGAGGTCGGCCTCAAGTCCCGTGGAAACAAGTGGATGCAGCTGTCCGGGAATGGGATTGGCTGGAAGGGGCCCGTCGATCATATTCCAGATGGTTGGACGTGGGAGCGCTTCACGGTTGTGGACGCAACACCGAAGCTTGGGGATACTTGGAACATTTTAATTTTTGGGTACTTTGATTCCCAAGAAGCAGCAAAAAATGCAAAATTTAGTCTAGGAAGCTCGTGCCTGGAACCACGGTGGCCCTCTACAACAAGCACCACCGCCGCTTCCTGGCCATGCGACGTGACCATCTGGACCGTACCGGGGAGGTGCCCATGGAGCTCCCTGATGGGTGGACCCATGAGCGTTTCACGGTGGTCCACGTGGATCATAAGTACATTGCACTGCATAACAGCAGGCACAACCGCTTCGTGAAGCTGGGTGGTGTCAGCCCTCACAGGGACCCAGATCGGTTTCCTGCCGGATGGGGCATGGAGAAGTTTGAAATGTGGCCTGCCTTTGGTGGGGACGTGGGCCTCTGGCACGACCACAACCGGTTCCTTCAGATGCGCAACGATGGCGTCGGCTACAGCCACCATCCTCCGGCTGGCATCTGGCACTCCCAAGGCTAACTGTGGGTTTTCAAGTTCCCTTAAAGGGTCTATAGGGGAATGTAGGGTTTAGGGTCTATAGGGTTTAGGGATTAAAACCAACAGTACGAATAGGCTGGGCCTGGGAGCGCTTCCATGTGCTGCCCGTGAAGCCATACCTGGAGCCCGGCACGGTTGTCGCCCTACACTGCCAAGTACCTTGGGGACGAGATGAGCCCTAACAGGGTTTAAGGCTCATATTACCTTAATAGGAATTATCGTAGTTTCATGGTTCATATTACCTTAACAGGAATGATACTAGTTTTATGGTTCATATGACCTTAATAGGAAGTATAGTAGTATAGAGGGTAAAGATGACCCCATTTTTTAGGGTTCATCTGGTCCCCAAGGTACACAACCGGTTCCTGAACATGCACCCTACCGACATGGGACGCTCCCCTCCGAAAGCTGCCAGTGACTACCCTGTTTCGGGCTGGACTTGGGAGAAGTTCACAGTGAAGGATGCCGGGAATGGCCAGATTGCCCTGCACAACGCGCATCACAACCAGTATGTGTCGATGAGGGGTGGCGGGGACCTGGGCGTCAGCCCAAAGAGGGGCTACCATGAGTCTTTCCCTCATAACTGGAAGTGGGAGTCATTCACCGTGGTACCTGCCAGCGACCTCTTCGACGGAGTCATCGGCTTGCACAACTCGGAGCACAACCGCTTCATTCGCATGACAGCGCACACTGCCGATTCCAGCAGCCACATGTCCGTGCAAGATTTCCCCCACGACTGGAATCAGGAGCGTTTCCGCATCGTCATCGTCGGATCTGGAGGCCAGGCGAGCGAGCCCGTCGGCAAGAGCCCGGAAGTGAAGTTCAGCTAAGACCCAATCTCTGGAACTCTTGTACTTGTTTTGTCTGTTTTGCGTAGTGCACCATAGAGCCGCACATACCCAATTCGTGTACCTTCCGGCGGCCGGCACCCTCGCAGTTAAAAGAGCGCCACTCGGTCAGTTCTTGATTGAATTGGATGCTTAGCTGCAGTGCCGAATGCCAGCCGAGGGCCCTGAATGCTCTGGGAGCCGGGCTGAGAATTTTATGGGCCTCTGCATAGTTGGATGCCTCTGCAACCTTCTGCAGACACATCTCCACAAGGCAGGAATCCATGTGCCCTGGCATGTCATATTTTTCATGTTCATATCCAGGACAACTGAACAGCATGGCATAGAACACCAGCATCCAGGAGAGCCAGCGATTCATGGTTCACAATTAGAGAAAACGGTTCCCGGGGAAGACAGCCGAGACTGAAGCATCCAGAGCAACTTGTTGCAAGGTTTTGCACCAGCAGCACAAGACTCCAGTGAGAACTGCTCGAAACCCTACTGGGTAGGGCTTGTAGGGCTGCCGAAGGCAGTGAGCTCAGCCATGGGCCCACTTCGGCTCATTCGCGACCTCTGCATCAACCATGGCGCTGTGCTTGGTTCCTAGGTAGGCCCTTGGGACTTTTTTTCTCCCCCCCCCCCCCCCTGCCCCCCTATGGGTTTAAGAGGTTTCTATTCTCAGGTGTTTTTTAGCGGGCTTTCAGGGGCCATCCTAGGTTCCTTTATCATCATCGGGGCTCTTGTGGCCTGGTCCATCACGGTCCTCCTGATCGGGTGCCTTCTCGGCTTCATGGTCAGTCTGTTTGATGGCGCTGGCAGCTCCCATGACACCAGCGACGACGTGGACACTGCAGTGAGGCTGCGCCACAGCAGTTTTTTGTTGTTCAGACAGGTGCCCATTCCAATGTGTAACCCTGGTCACAGTGAGGGTACAGAAGCCAGGAGCTCTCCACTCTCGCTCGTGGCGTCGGCTACTGCTGGCATGATCTTCGGCATCCTCAAGGACTCACCAGGGCACAAGTTTCACCTGAAGCATGGGGGTACCCTTTTTGGGTGTCCTTTCAACGGGATTCTATTCAATTTGGTCTATCAAAAGGGGTACCCCTACGTTGCAAAATACGCATATTCAGGGGCATTCCCTGCTTCTGGCGACGAAGGTTCGCAGCATAGAGCATGCAAGCTCGGGTGATACTTCCACATGCCTAAAAAGCACGCCCCCCTGCAATGGCACCTAGAGTCTAACAGGACCAGCCATGGGTCATCCCAACCCTCACCGTGCTCATCATGATCGCTGCAGCTTCTCGTGATGCGGTGGATGTCACCTGAAAATACCTTCTCCTGAGGCGGAAGACCGCGGGGTATCAAGGGACTTCAAGGGCTTAGGATGATGATAAGGGCGAAATGTCTTGCATTTCAACATGCAGTCCCTACAGCGAAGGCGCTATGCCCAAAAGGGAAAGGTCAGCTGTTGAAACTGCTTTGTGTAGCGAAAAAGGAGGTGGCCAAAGGGTCGAGAAAGCTTGGCATGTTCAAAATTGGGATGTTCAAAGACTTGAAGTGTTCGATGAACCATGGGCGCATCAACTAGACGCTGATGCGGCTCTTGCTTTCGTTATTATTGGTACGAAAGTAGGAACTACGCTTAACCGAAGCCCCGCTAGCTCAAACCCTCTGACCGTAGAGACCCTGGCGCTGTGCACGCACTCGAATCGTTTTTAAATTAATTTCTGTGAGATTAAAGTCGTAGCAGGCAAGCGTCAAGAAGTCCCCCTTCGACTCGCTGGCGAAGACGTACTCGTACGGCCTGCAAGTGTTCTCCACACCAGGCACGCCCAGCAGCTGTACATAGTGAGGCCAAAGCCCGTCTCTCAGAACGGCCGCAGACCTGCCGTGAAAGATGATGCTGCAGACGTAGCAGTTGTTTGAAATTCGGGTGGCGTTTTTGTTTCTTTTGCTGTTTTTTTGGGGGGGAGAGGGAGGGGGGAGGAGGGGGGCGTGCGCACACACTTGTTTTCCACGAAGTTTTGGGGCTCGTTGCTTGGCTTGCAGCCCAAGCTTAGTCCATGCCGGCCTCGTCGACTAGGATGGTGAGTCACAGGAGGGTGTAGGGTTCAGGGTTTAGGGTGAGTCACACGGAATAAAGGTGTTCGACCGGACTCGGCCCGGGACGCAGCGGTTGCCATGCTGCAGTGAGCCCGGGCGGTGGACCAAAACTCGCACGGCCCGAAGCTTCTGCTGATAATGGTAATACGACATGCCACAACCGACTTGTCAAGGTCATGATTATCGTTGGTATTCTTATGAATACTTCTATAACTCTTACTGAGATACAGTATTCTTCTTACCAATACACTATACTCTTATATAGATATATATATATATACATACATATTGTTTACCAGTATTGTCAATCGACAATGTCATCTCATCTAACCGTGGGCCCCCCTGGCTCAAAACTACTCTGCAGGACCAGGTCATGACTTAACTCATAAAAAGCCTATTGTAAGCATTTTCAAAGCTCCGTTTGTCCACGTTTGTTTCTTTCTGAATCAAGTGGGCCTTGCAGCACGCGAAGACAGATGTGCATCGCCTGACAACATGTACTCGCAATTTTTTTGAGAGCCTCGAGCAAGCCTTGCAATCCCCTCTGACATGGCGCGAGCGTGTCGCTGATGCCGGCAAATGCCACAGCGGCCCTTACGCTCCTCGCCCACAGATGCCAGACGTCACTGCAGCGTTGATCCCTTCCCCCTAATATAAAAGGCCCCCGGTCTGTAGCTGGGATGATTGGGGTATGTTGGGGTCTCTTTCTCTAGGATCCTGAAAAGTCCGAAGCCCCGAACGAGGTCCATGGGACAAAGTGCATCCCTGCGATCTCCAAGGCAGGGATGCAGATGGGGAGCCATAATATGGGCTGTTGGGGATTTTGGCCTCCAGGGATGGAAAACATCCCAAGGTCCTAGACCCCAAATCGCCATCGTTGTCTTAAAAGGATGGTTTAAGAGGGTCTGTTCCTCGGAGGGAAGGAAAAAAATGCAGGGTTGAGGGGACGAGGAGGCGCACCTCTTGGCTGCTGTGTGCGCTTGGTGCGGTTCGTTAAGATCTCCTTCGGACCATCCCAGCTGGAGGTTGCCAGCTCTGTGAGCTTGCAGTTGTGATGTCTAAGAAACTCCTTTAACCCAACGGCAACATGCCCTTCTGTAGAAGTGAGTGTTGCCTCAAACCGAACCCATGTGATGGAAGCTTCTCAGATTCTCAAGGATGGGAACTGGGGGGTCCTCAGTCCAAGCTATGGCGGAGGTGTCTGTGGAGGAGCGGCAGTGGGAGAAGGTTACCGTAGATGAGGCGACGCGCATGCGTTTGAATGGCGAGTCGGCACGATGCATGGCCCACATCCGCGCCATCAAGAAAGCGGGCGGCGTGTCACTCCAGGAATCGGACGGCTCAGACACAAGCAAGGATCAGGCATGGACGACCCTTGAAAGCCAAATGAACCCTAAAATTGGGGTCATATCCGTTTCAAGGTATTCTGAACCTCGAAACCCTTTGAGGGTTCCTTTCTCGGCGCCCCAAGGACTGACGAGTCGGGCTTGGCAGCATGCGCTGCTCGCTACGCCATGATCACCACCGCTCTTTGGATGCTTCCCAAGATGCTTGTGCCTTGGGGGGACGAGAAATGAGCCCTAGAAGGGCTCAGGGGTCATATGACCTCAGTAGGAGTTATAGTTCCTGGGTCATATGACCTTGATGGGAATTTGTATAGTAGTCTATAAGGCTTGTGTACCCCAATGTTTGGGTTCACTCGGTCCTCAAGGTGCTCTTCTTGCCGATGCTCCTGCTCCAGTTTCCTGCAATGGTCGTGGTGAGATCCTACGTGGCATGTGTGAAGGCTGGAACAGATTCCTTTGAGCGCACCGCCATGTTCTGGGTGTCCTTCATGCTGGTCTTCGTCCTTTACCTGCCTGCTGGAATCCTGGCCCTTGTGTCGCTGATGTTGGACTACGCTTCTTGCCCCAATATTTTTGGGGGTATTTGTTGTTGAGAGTTGTTTGGTTTGGTGGGCGTTTATAAGGTAGGAGACACCCGAAGAATGACTTGGCGTACTTTCTCTGAGAACGCAGGTCTTCTATTGGATCTTCGGCATCACCTTCTGCATTTGCAGTTGCCGCTTCGGCGCGGTGTGGCGGAGCATGAGGGCGATTGATCCTTACCGAAACGGCCCCTGGATCATCTTGCACCTTCCTGACATCTACGTGTCGGTCATGGGCCAGACCTGCCGACAGGGCATGCTCGAGGTCATGTGGATCCTTTCCACAATGTGGCTCATCATGCCATGGTACAAGTACTACATCAACTGCAATCCATGGCTGGATGACTTGGACCATCGCTTTGTGAACCAAATCAGCACCACTTGCGCGGACATCAACGAGCAAGACCCGACACGCAGCTCGAAGATCAGCAGGGAGATCATCTCCCGGGGCAAGCACTACCCGGGCCGTGCCCAGAAGGTGGATCTCTGGCACTTCGTCCCGCACTACCCGTACCCGCCGCCTGGGCGGCGCTATGCCATGGGTATGCAGCAAGGGGGAAGTGGGCTGAAGAGCTGCATGTTGATGGTGCACACCACGCATGCAAACCGAAACGACGGGAATTCGATGGAACAGCACGTGGCTTCGAATTGCTGCAAAGTCCCCGTCTATCGCGTCATGTTGTGGTACAACAACCCCTACCACCATTTCACTGGCTGGGTGGAGGCTCACCCATCTACAGGTGAACCGTCGCAACTCGACAAAGCCGATGGCGGAGAGCATCCCATGTGGCTGGTGGGGTCCAAGTCCCCTTTGACCTCGAAGCGTACCAGCATGACTGGCCCAGGCTCTATTGACAAGCTCCTCGGCGTTGGCAGTTAGAAGGGGGAACTGCAAGTCGGCTGCCTTCCTTTGTTTTGTTTGGCTGCAAAAACGATGAAGTTCCAACCCAGGTTCTTCGACGAATGGATCCCTGTCTTCGCACATGAAGTTCGCTATTCGCACCACCGCATGGAGGGAAAGAGCCACGAAGAGGCATTGCAGATCGCCAACGCCAAGTACCAGGAGGTGAAATCAGCAGATGGGATTTCCAGGCCCCTCAAGAAAATTGGCTTAGACAAGTACAAGGAGTCCTCCATGCATGACTACGGCCTTGTATGAGACAGAGAAAACCTCTGTCCGCTCTGTGCTGCTATATAGTCTTTGAGTGCAGGTTGACGTTGAATTGCAGCAGCTGCACCTGTCACTTGCCGATCCAACTGACCTGTCTTTCCGTCTTTCTCGTGAGCAGCCGAATGGGCTGCACACGGGAATGCCCGGATGCCCCAACAACGAGGCTGGTTGTTCTGTTTTAAACCAGATCGCACGAACGCACCAGGAAAAGGGGCTTGCCTGCCTCACAGCCACCCCAGAAGAGCACAGACTCTTTCGCCATCCTCATGTCAGTATGATTTCCATCGTGCCCTGCATGGAGCTTGTTAGTATGGCATTTACCTTTCATCGCCATACGAATATTGGCATGGTCCTTCCTCATGATAAGACTGCTCTGGTTGCGATGAGGATTGATTCGCACTGTAACGGTTCTTATTGCTGCTATGGTCAGTACAGTTCATATTGCTATTGCTGTTCTGAGTACGATTACACGTACTATTGCTATCACGATAACCGAAAAAGGATGACTGATATCACTGTTCCTACTATACATGATTGCACAGTACTTCTACTACCATTACTAGTAGATCACATCCACGAGACTGAACATTCGGGGAAGTAAAAGCACAAGCAGCGTGTCGGAATCATCCGCTCTGGAAGGAGGTCCCGTGACGCTGTGGTCTGATCCCCTGCTGCGCTGACCTCCGGAAACCGAAAGAAGCCCGACAGGCTCTGGGGCGACTTCTGATTCCGATGGTTTGATGTGTGGGGCTTTTGGGAATCTTTTAGGGTTGTGTGCTGCAGTGGTCTAGCTGCGCTGAAGACAGCTGTGCCTTTGGAATTGGCTGCTCAGCATTTCGGCCTACTCGCATCTCCGTTTCAGAGCGCTTGTGTAGCAAAAGCTGTTGTCCTCGGCGCGAAAAAGGAAGACAGGCATGTGCCCCGCGACCGCTTCTGCACAGTCCGAGGCAACAAAGCAAGACCAGTCCCTGAGACGAAACAGGTTCAGGAGCCCTAATGCCCAACACCAGTCCGTGGCTCTGTAACCATGAGTCCTAGCCACTGACCTACTGAGACCTACTGCCCTGAGTCCTGAAGTCCTGAGCCCCTCGGTGGAATCAGAAAACAGAACGCAAATCAGGGACCTGCAGCATAGGATCAAGCAATGTCGAGACTAGGCAATTGTCACCAACGGAGTCTCACGTACCCAGTGCTCGAACGCGTTGCTTATTCGACCGAAAGGCTGTAATTAGCAGCTGTCAACCTCAAAGAGCAACCCCCTGCCACTTTTGGTCAGAACGTTGTGTTGTTGCGCTCGCCTGCTGCCTCTTCTGCGTGCTTGCTCAAGCTGCATCGGTGTGTTGCACCAGCTTCCCCCCTCAAGCATCAAGCTGCTCCACTTTGCACCAATATGGCCATGGACGAGATTGTCTCCATAGTTCCAAATTTTGCTGGAGTTGAGGCTGGAAGCCCTCAAAGCTCACCGTCCCTGAGCAAAGACCAGAACACAGAGCCCACGGAGCCGATGGGACAGGGGAAGAAGGGAAAGCTGAGCACATTCAAGACGTACGTGAACCTGGTGACGGTCGTGATCGGAGCGGGGATTATGGCCTTACCTCAACTACCGCTTCGGGGTGGTTGGTTGATGAGCTCCTTGATCCTTCTACTGGTCGTCGTCTGCTCCATGGAAAGCGGCCTCTACATGTGGAAGGCCTTCATGGCAAGCCAGGCAAGCCAAGGGAGAATCCCCATGTCCACCTACGAAGATTTGGGCCGGGAGGCATGGGGCCCCGTGGGTCAAATCCTCACAGCTGTGGTCACCAACATCTTTCTTTTCGGCGTCTACTCAGCTTACGCGGTCCTGATTGGCATGCAGCTTGAGAACATCAGCCATCAAGCCTTGGACAAACGCTTCTGGATCCCGATCCTCTATCCCGTCTTCGTGTGCCTTGCACTCACCAGAGACCTCTCCAGCCTCTCGAGGTTGGTTCCTCTGGGCTTCTTAGCAGCCTGTGGGCTGGCGGCCGTCATCATCGGCAAGTCCATCCTCGATGCCCACCACTGGCAGGCCTGGGACCAGGAGCAGCGCCGAGACCTGCACTCGGCCTGGCCGGAGGCGCTCCTCTCACAAAGCAAAGCCCCTCCCCCCCTCCCAAAAAAAGGGTGCCCCATAAAACTTTCAGAAAGCTTCTCTGTGAGAAGGAGTCCTGGATGTCCCTGGGGATCGTCCTGGCGACTTGCATCGGTGCAGTCACCTACCAGCCCATGGTCCCTGCCATCCTGCAGGACCACTTGAGGGGGGAGTATTGGGGGGAGTATTGGGGGGCGGGATTTGGGGGTTTGGGATTTGGGAGTGGGAATGCAGCAGAGGTTCAGACGACTTAAGCAGGACATGAAGCAGCCGGAGCAGTTTCCGCGCGCCATGTTTGCAGCCATCGCCACCTGCGGCAGCCTCTATTTGACCGTGATGCTCTGTGGCTACTACGGCTACGGCACCTTCATCAGCCAGGACATTGTGCAGTCCATGACCTACTCGCCGGCTAACTTCAACGAAGCCTTCTCTGACCAGAAGGTGTGGGAGTGGACCGGCGAAAAGAGCCTTTGGGTGCCAGCGCTGGTCTCCAGCCTCGTGCTCGTAAACATCGTCTTGAGCAGCTTGGCATTGACCAGATCGCACACGCTTTCAGGCGGTTAAGTTGAGGCGGTTGAGGCGGTTGAGGCGGTTGAGGCTTCAAGGTTGAAGGGACCCCCAGTCGCCCCTAGTGGCACTAGTGATCTCTTCTTTCATCAGGCATGCCCATCATCATGATGGCCATCTTCTACTCAGTTCAAGACTTCAAGAGCTTTGGCGATCGCGTAAAGGCTGGCTCATGCGCGAATCGGGTCATGCGCGTGAGCCTGGTCTCGAGCCCCTCGTCTGCAACAGACTAACACTAACCCATGAATCGTGGCTGCCAGCCATGACATCTGCAAGGGTCAGTGCAAGCAGTCTCTGCGCTGCAGTTGCCATCGTCACCGCCATGTGCGTACCGCAGTTCACGTTAGCCTCTCGGCAGAACTTGGCACAAGCCGTGTGGAAGTGTGCACTAGAGACCGGGCATGTGAATGGACCGGGAGGGGCATTCATCGCCTACTATGCAGAGATAGAGACAGTGTGCCAAGGCCCTGATCTCATGGCATGAGTACAGTGGCTATCGCAGCATAGAGTGAGGCATGGGGTTGTTGGCTGCTCCTACTCCTCGAGCCGCTGCTGCTACTCGAATAGGAGCAGCGCAGAGCAGGAACCTGTCAAAATGGTCGTGGAGTTGAGGTCTTCGGCTTCTTTTGCGCTGTGGCTGCCCCTGCCGTCTCCCTGGCATTTCCACTTCTTTTCTCAGGCGGGCTTTGCGGGTTCATTGTTTGGGCTGCAGTGAAGTTGTTTGTTGAGGGCTTGCAGGGACTGTCAGCCGGGATTCGGGTAAAGTTGTCGGGGGGATCTGCAACATGTAACATGTGCCGATTGGTTTAGCGTTCCTGTTGCTTGTTGGGGGGTTGTCCGGGCAGCTGGCGGACTTGCAAAATGCAACACCTGCCAGCCAAAGGATTGGGATAGCATTGTTGGTGCTTCATGCGGGGTTCTTAGGTCAACGGTCAACTGGCTTATTGGCGAAAACGCAGGCCCACAGGATGGGCGTAAAGTTGTGTTGGGATTGTTTGCCGGTTTGCAACGGGTTGGCTGTCCTTCTGCAAGGCAGCAACTCATCCACCCCTGCATTTCATACTTGAACCCCCTTCAAATCTCCCCTATCTCCCTTTCCCCTCCCTTGGCCCTGATCCCCCTAAACCTTAAACTCTGAACCCCCCTAAACACCATCAGCCCTCCCCCCAAGTGTGGCTTACACGAGGAGCGGTGCTGCGGCGCTGTGGCGTGGCACAAAGTCCCTGGCGCAAGGGACTCCACGGCTGCTCACCTTTCCAGGACCTTGGGAGGATGCAACAAGTACAGTAGATCCCCCAAGTAGTACCCATTGTACCCATACACCCTAGACTACTTTCTACTACTATGGGAGCATTTTTAGGAACCCTTCAGGGGATCTACTTTTTTGGATCCTCCCAAGGGGTTTGGTTTCAGATTCCGCGGTTTGTTTGGGGGGAGAATTGATAAAGGGATCTTGGGGGGCTTATAGGCGTTTAAGGGGTTGCAAGGGGCCTTGATGTTGCTTTGGCGACATGGGGTTGCGAGGTTAAGGGTACTAATTGTAAACGCGCGTCGAGGTTTGGTGACCTCAGACTACGTAGTTTTAGCTTCCATCCGAAGAAGTCCACGCAGTTGAGCTTCATTGTTGGAAAGGCGTGTGTTTCAACTGTCCTCGTTCGCTGAGGCACTTGGGGTCTGATGTGTCCAGTCGCATCGTTGACCAGATACTTTGCCCTTCGTCCAGCCTGCATCGCTGCTGGTGTCATGCCTTCGTCTGCACAAATCACAAATCTGAGGCGTTATCTTGCTCCTCAGCCTTCTCTGCGCCTTCGATGCACTGACCTTCAAAAGACCTGAAGCAAACCTCTCCACATGGAAGATGAAAAGCCAAGGCATGGTTGCGGGGATTTACACCTCTGTGTCGGATCTGGTGGCTGAATCGTCAGAATAGCTGACAGAGGCCGACATAAGTCAGTTTTTGCCATTGTGGATTTGAGGCTCTGCAGCAAAGTCATGTACAGCTTTGTACAGTCCGGTTGAGACGGAGGGCTGCTGCAATTCACGGTTTACTCGGTGGTCACATGGGGCCAGCAAGGAATTTTTCCGACATGCTCAAAAGCAGCGAGTTCTGGCTCAGGAGAGGACAGCTCTCCCCAAGGCCACGGACGCCGATTTGCACAGGGCTTCTCACATTTGAAAGCGAAAGCCTTGTGAGCATCCGGCAGGCGGCATGGCTAGGAAAGCAAAAAAAGTCCACACCCTGTGCCTGCCTTACTCAGGGAAGGAAAGCTGCTTCTTAGATGCGGCCAGCTCCATGGGCGGCTCCCTTTGAAGTCCAAGTGTGAAGTTCCTGATAAGCCAGGTGTTGAAGTCTTGATTACGAACAAGCGTGATGGAAGCATGAAACCGATTGTTTGAGACTGTTTTGTTTTGGGCGGGGGCTTCAAGTGTTTCGGGAGTTTTGGCACCCTGAGCCCGCGCCCCTGAACCTTGATCATGCTCTGGGATGTTCCCCCCTTATACTAACAGTCCTAGAAAGGAATTATAATCGGGGCTACTATCCCAAATTACGCTGCAATTACGCCCCTTAAGCCGTGGCTAGGCAAATCACACGTACCCACACCGGTGTTGAGTGGGGGGTTTGGGCGGAGCCCTAAACCCTAAACCCTAAATCCCAAAATCCCAAAACCCTGAGACCCGAACTTTGTAGTTGTTTGGTAGGGGGATGAGGAGTTTAAAGGTTTTGATGTAGGGGCGTAGGGGTCGAAAGGCACCTCCGTGGCAAGAGCTGGAAACCCACAAACTCCAAATGAAACCCCAGTCTAAGGGCTTAGTGGTCGAGAGGTTTGAGGGCGCAAGGGTGTAGGACCAGTGCTTGGGTGGTTTGAGGTTGTTTTTTGGGTGGGAGTCGAAGGCTTTTTTTAGAGTACGGGTTCAGAGGGTTCCGGGGCTTGGCAGTTTGGGGGTTTTTGTGGGTTTTAAAGGCCTATATAGAGGGCGTCTAGAGGGCTCAGAGGGTCTTAGAGCGTTTAGAGGGTTTACAGGGTTCAGAGGGCTTAGAGGGTTTAGGTGTTTTGTGCTTCGGCTTTGGGACCCAGGCTGATGATGCGTTGGCAGTGGCTCAAGCAGCAAGAGTCGAAGAGACCACAGCACTTGTCGCGGTGAGAAAATCAATTCGATGGCGGGGCTACAGGCATCTATAGGCGTAAACCCGTGAGTTGCTTTGAATCTCACCGCTGGAACGCGCGATAACGCACGAATGCGCGGCCATGGTGTGCATCACACTTCCCGGCGAGGGCATCTTGGAGCTACCCTTGTCTCTCGGACGGCGGCAGCGCTTTGGTCCCAAAGTTTCCCCTCAAGAGACGCATCCATCAGCTTTCACACCTGTGGTTCTAAGTGGTTCTACTGTGGTTCTACTTGATCTAATGTTCGTTTTTTTGCCGGTGGAGTGTGAGTGAGGCCTGGCCATGCCACAGTGAAGGAGGCGGTGGCGTTGCTTCGGCAGAAAGGTTCCTGGGCTTCCCAGAGCCTTGGGGACGAAATCAACCCTCAAAGGGAATTTATGGTTCATATATGTTCATATTACCCTAATAGGAATTATAAGTCGAAGAGGGTGTATGACCCCAATTGTAGGGGCCAAGCTGGGATCCAACGAAAGAGTTGGCATTAGCGGAGGTTTCATGTTCAAGGCTGTGTGAGCTGAGATTTATCTCATTTATGATGGCTCAAGGAGCCGCGTTTCTGTTGAGGAATTCGTTCCCTCGCCATGGCCCCTGATCCTGGCGCGCGACGCCGATTCGCCTACTGGTGGTGCCTTCTCGTGGCTTGCGGATCCGCTTGTTCTGGCCATCAACACATCCTGTGGGAGCACAGCCGGGATGAGCCTCCTGCACCCCTGCCACCGGCTTGTGGGCGACGCCGACGCCGAGAGCTCACAAATATCCTCAATGCCCCTTGGACCTTCCCACCACCGGTTGTGAGCTGGAACCCGTTGGCTGGCTTTGGGTGTCAACCTCCTCCGTCTTTTCGACCGCGGAGAGCCGGACGCCGCCTCTACGAGCGGCAACGTCGCCTGTGGACACGGCAGCCTCCGCCCAAACAAACTTGGTCCAGATGGCCTTTGAGGGGAACTCGCATTGGTGAGGCGAAGCGGCCTGGCCCGCCCGCTCCGGGCACGCCACTCGGGGGCGAACGGCCATATCCTGTTGGGTGCCGCCGCCGTGAGCGCTCACCAGATGCTGGCGCCCACGCCATGGAAATTGATGCACCTGCCTCCTCAGTGTCCGCCGCTGCACCGAGTGGTGACCCTTGTCCTGCCGGCCGTGTCTTTTGCCCGGTGCCGCAGTGCCCGCATTCGGACCCCAAGCAGGCACGCGGATGGACGAGCCTTGCATCCATGCGTGCGCACATCAATACGCACCTACTGGGGACGTCCGTTGGGGAAGTGCCGCCTGCCTGGCTCCAACATAATGGCTTGGTTCGGTGCCTGGTCTGTGGATGCACTGTGTCCCAGCGCCTTGAGGTTCACCCCACATGCCGTCCTGCAGCGCGTGATGCCAACGCTTGTGGAGCGGCGCAGGTGCCTGCATTGCACTTGCCGTCGCTGGCTGACATCCAGACTGCCAGGACCCCAACTCTCAGGCATGTCCCGTCCAGCGCCCGGCATGCGTGGCACCAGGCCCTCGTGCGTGCCTTGTCAGCGGTAGCTCATGTCAATGACGAACAGTCCTGGATTGAGCTGCTTATATGCTTCCACAATGTGTGCTTTGTGCTCCACTCCGTGGCGGGCGCAAGCACCGCCGGGCCACTGCTGCTTTCGTCTCCGATCGCCTGCAACGCTGGGCGGAGGGAGAGCGCTTGCGCCTTTGGGACTCTCGGCCGAAACACAACCGCAAATCCACCCCCTCTTTGACACCGGAGGAACGCCGGGACCTGGCCACTGGCTGGGCCAGAGAGGGTTTCGACCACAAGGCGTGCAAGGCCTTGTTGGCTGAAGGCCTGTGCCCGCCAACTGCTGAGTCTGCCGCTGCCTTGGCCGCCTTGCATCCTCACAGCCCGCCCCCGGCTTCTCAGCCTGTGCAGTCCCTGCCTGTGGCGCCAGAGGTGGCTCCGGAACTCGTCACCCGCAGTTTGCGTGCTTTCCGCCCGGAAAGGTACAGCACCTCCGTGATGCCTGTGTGGCTGGGGGAGTTGACAGCCTCATTGCCCAGCTCACAGCTGTTGTCAATGTCTTAGCTCAGGGCCGCGCGCCCGCTAGCATTGCGCCAGTGCTGGCTGGAGCCGGCCTAGTTGCTTTGGCAAAACCTGCTGGAGGCTTAAGGCCCATTGCTGTGGGCGAATTGTTGCGCCGCCTCACAGGCAAGTGCTTGATGACATTGGTCCGCGAGGAAGCTCGAGCCTTTTTCTGGCCGGCGCAGGTCGGTGTTGCTGTCCCAGAGGATCCTACATGTATCGCCGGTGTGGCATTACAGGACAGGAACCATGTATACAAAAAAATGTTGGCGTAATGCCACGTATTTGAATGTTGTAGCATAGGTGAGTATTTTTAAAATTTGCCGGCCTGCAAGACGCTTATGTAACCTGCCTTTGGGCCAAAATTTGGCTCTTCGCTAGGCAGGAAAACATGAGTTTAGGATGCAGGATTATGCGGCACGCACGTCAAAAAACTAAAACAGTCGAAAACCCTAGGCCAGGAAGCTCTAAATTACCCAGTCCCATCGCGCGCACAGGTTTTCAGACCGAGCAAACATATATGTTTTAGCTTCGGGCTTTGGGATTAGGGGCTTAAGTCTGGGGATCAGGCCATTTTCATTTTGGTGTTCAAAGGGCCGGGATTGAGTTCGGGAGCTGCCTCCGACCCCCCTCCCACCCCCCTCCCCCAAACCCCACCCCCAACCCCCCACACCACAACACGCACTCCCCATCCACTTCGGGAGCTGCAAGGTTTAAGCTTCGAGCAAGGTAAATGTTTTAGCTTCGGGCCGTGGGATTAGGGGCTTAAGTCTGGGGATTTCGCCAACGTCATGTCGGTTTTGAAGGGGATTGAGTTCGGGAGCTGCAAGGTTTTAGCTTCGCCTGGCTTAAGTCTGGGGATCAGGCCAACTGCATTTCGGTTTTGAAGGGGATTGAGTTCGGGCATGGCTTTTTTTGAAGGGGGAGCCTGCTAACAGGCGAAAATCCTAGGCCAGACACCCCCCCCCCCCCGCATATTTATCGAAGTCAAGTTTGCCCCGACCTCAAGCCCAAATCCTGAGAATCCACAAGGCGTGGGCTGGCTAGCCTCTCGGATGTAGGGTCTAAGGTCCCGAAACCCTGAACCCTATTCCCTGAACCCTATGTTGACTGGGTTTAGATGTTTAGATTTCAATCAGGAGCCCTGAATCGGGCACTGGATTAAAAAAAAAAACTATTTGGGATCAAAAAATAGTTTATTGCTAAGGGGATCAAAACATCTTATTTGGGATCAGAATGAGCTTATTGAAGGCTTGGAAGCCTCTATTTCTAGGGAGATCAAAATATTGTTGAAGGCTTGGAAGGCTTGTCCGGCCGGGAGGGGTGGGTGGGGTGGGGGAAGGCCCCTACACCGGGTATGGCTGCCTATTGGGGGAGAGAGGTGCAGTTTTTTCCTGACTATAAATTTTAACTAAATATTTCCTACTTAGACATTGTTATTGGGACATCTTAAAACTTAATTGCACTGTTACATGCGTATAACCTGCTAGTGTGATATTAACCTGCTAGTGTGATATGATTATTCTGTAATATTAATCACAAAATGCTTTCATACTGTGAACTTGTCATGTTTGTTTATACAAGATAAGCGGCCTGTGTGCGCCTGGTGTTAGCTGCTGCGACCGCGGGTACATAGTTGTAGTTGTCGTCGTCGTCGTCGAAGTAGTAGTATAGTCATAATCATGGCAGTAGTCGTCCCTACACCCTAGACCTTGAACCCTAATCCCTTACTCCTAATCCCTAAGCCCACCAAATCAGGGGGGGAAAGAAGGGGAAACAGGTGGGCTGTGAAACTCACCCTGCTCCGCAACTCCGTCCCGAAACCCAGCTCTGATCCTGGAGATGCACAATATTCAGGGCATGCGGATAAAAAAATGGATCAAAAAGTGATTTGCTGTTCTTCCTACTGTGGAGGGAGGGAAGGAAGGAAGCAAGGAACGAAGGAAGCAGGCAAGGAAGCAAGGAAGCAAGGCTTTTTACTCGTGCCCAGCTGTCCCGTGGATTCCCGCAAAGATTGGTTTTGTTTCCTTCTCTCTGAGTTGTCTGAGCTGTCCCCTGGATTCCCACCAGGCTCGGATTAGCTTTTCCACCTGCGCTCAACCGTCCTTTGGATTCTCGCAAAGATTTTTTTTATCCTCGCTTAAGTGTCCCTTGGATCCCACAAGGCTAGGACTAGCTTTTTACTTGTTCTGTAAAACCAAAATACGTATGTTTCATGGAGGCACCGATTGCCAATAAGGACCCAGGACCTCCACAAAGCAGGTACTTGTCTGAAATTTTCCAATTTTCAAAAGGGTCCACAGAGGCATGCCACCGCCGTTCTGCGCATTAGCATGTTTCCTCGTACAAAACACAAAATTTCAAAGCGAACCCTGTTGCGTGGGCCAGGAAACCTCTGGGAGCAGTGAGTTTCGAGACTCAGTTGGGGAGCTTAAGCGTGTAGGACCTTCGTGCGTAGGGGCCGGTACGAGGAGCATGGCACACTTTTAACCTCCAAAACCACACATGACAAGATTTGTTCAAAATGACCTTGTCCGGGCACGTTTTTTCGCAAGTCACGCCAAGTCACGCCAAGTCACGCGCAAACCTGCCCAAAGCACTCCAGAGGATGGTTTTTGAGGCCCAAGTCACGCTAAGTCACGCGCAGTCACGTCCCTTAAATCCAGCCCAGTATACGAGAATTGCGTAATTGTGTGTTTTTAGATGGTTCAAGCCTCCGGAAGAAGCCTGTCTCTGGGTTTAGGGCGGGTGTAGACTTCGTATTTACGGCTTCGTGCTTCAAAGCCACGATTGAGAGGCTTTTACGTAGGGTGGCCTGAGGTCGAGACCTCGTATATTTGTGGTTTCAGGGCTTCCGGGCACGATGAGAAGGTTTCTACGTAGGGTGGCGGAGGCTGGAACCTTGCATTTATGGTTTCAGGGCTTCCGGGCATTGTTTACGCAGGGCGGCGTGAGGCTGGGACCTCGTATTTATGGTTTCAGGACTTACGGGAAGGATTATAAGCTCGAAGCGGCTCTCACGTTAAGGGTTGGCGTTGGTGCCTCGGTTTCTGGATACATTTTACGGGGATCCTCCTGCTATACCTGCAGTAGTAGTAGTAGTAGTAGTAGTAGTAGTAGTAGTAGTAGTAGTAGTAGTAGTAGTAGTAGTAGTAGTAGTAGTAGTAGTAGTAGTAGTAGTCGTACTACTACTACTACTACTACTACTACTACTACTACTACTGCTACTACTACTACTACTACTACTACTACTACTACTAGTAGATATTAAGAAATATTAGAACTTTTTGTATAATATTAACATTTATGCTACTACTACTACTTCTACTACTACTACTACTACTACTACTACTACTACTACTACTACTACTACTACTACTACTACTACTACTACTACTGCTGAGGGACGGTGCCCCATCTGTATCTCTGAAAGTGTTCAGGGAGGGTGCCCCGTCTGTATCTCCCAAAGTGTTCAGGCAAGGTGGCCCCGTCTGTATCTTCAAACTGTTGAGGGACGGTGCCCCGTCTGTATCTCTTAAAGTGTTCAGAGAAGGCGCCCCGTCTGTATCTCTTAAAAAACTGTTGAGGGAAGGTGCCCCGTCTGTGTCTCTTAAACTGGTCAGGGAAGGTGTCCCGTCTGTATCTCTTCAAGTGTTCAGGCAAATTGCCCCGTCTGTATCAAACTGTTGAGGGACGGTGGCCCGTCTGTATCTTGATCTTAAAGTGTTGAAGCGGCGTCCGTCGCACTGGGGGGGGGGGGGGGGGATGCTTCCCTGAACAGTTCGAGAGATACAGACAGAGGCAAAGAGCTCACGCAAGGAAGAGAGGTCTTACCCGAATGTTGCGCACGCCAAAGACTTGGCATGTAGAAAAGACAGCTAGCCCGCCCTCCTCACCCGGTGCATGGAAACTGTGTGATTACGAAAATAAATTTCAAAAACCAAAAAAAGCGAATGTGGGTTATTTAACGCACGTCTTTCGAACGTAAGTACCCCCCCACCCCCGCAAGACAAGACATAGATAGAAGGGAACATGGATCTCTCCAACAGGAAAAATGCAAGTATTTGCTGGCGGCGAAAAAGCAGTCATCGTCCGGAACAGGAGCAAACATGCTGCTATTTACAGCAGTTTCGGCAACGCAACCAAAAAGATACAGAAAATCGGAAAAGTTGACATGAGAAGCCTCAATTTAAAACGTGGTTTCTTTTGTACAATTTGACGAAACTCGAAAATGGCCAACAAATGTGAAAAAATGTCGAACACGAATGCTGGTATTTACAGCACGTTTGCATACAAAATCGAAAAACGCCCAAAAAAACCAACCATGTTTTACCAAACGCTTTCGCAAGGTTTGACAAACGACCCTCCAAACGCGTGGTTTGACAAAACACGTGCGAAAAAGTAGCGTTCTTGGCGCCGCACCGGGGGGGTGGGGAAATCGTACTACTACTACTACTAATAATAATAATTATTATTATGAGAATAATCATGATAATAGTAAAAGTAATAACAGCAAACAAAAAGGTGGGCACGAAACCTCGCCCGAGTCGGAGAAGATAAACCCACTAGAGCAAACACACCTGCTAGATCCATGAACCGATACTTCGTCGCAACACCTGCTGTGACCCTGATCGAAAAAAATAGGTCCTGAGCAAAAGCCAGCAAGGGACGCCAGCGCGATTGCGCCCAAACCAGGGGATCCCTACACTAACTCTAAAGCCCACATTTCAACAGTTAGAGCCAGCCGGTGTCTCTTAAAGGCAAATTTCAAAAGTTACAGCCTGCCGGTGTTGAACCGGCACGTTTTGTTATAAGCTCCACATAAGCTCCTAGAATTTATGATATCGAGAGTTCCGCAGTCGAAAAAAACTTGATTGCAAAATGTAACCCCCGCCCAGCGCATCACCCTGTAAGGTACATGTTCGCAGGGATGGACTTACAGTTGTAAGACCATGAATGCAACAAATGCCATGCCTGCGAATGGATCCACCCAATTCCATAATTGTGATGTCTCTGGACCCTCTGGGTGTCAAGGGCGGAGCTGAAACGGCAGTGCATGCGGCGCGGGCCTGGACGCAGCGGCATATGGGCTCCACCCACAAAGTCCTGGTTAAGCTCGATTTCAGTAACGCGTTCAACTGTGTCGACCGCACTGCGGTGCTCCAACAGTGCTGCGCCAACTTCCCTGTGCTGGCGCGCTGGGCCACGTGGTGTTACCAGCAGCCCACTCGTCTGCAGTTCGGGGATAGGGTTCTTCTTAGCGGGATTTAAGAGG